GCTCAACTGACACGCGTGGCGAGCGGGAGGACGCCTGGCGAATTACTGCAAGCTACTCAAATGTCTCGCCCATACTGATCCACCTGGTCGCAACGCATCCCCGAAATGCCGATGCAATGAAGGCATAGCCAAGAAAAATCCAGTGGCAATGCACTTGGTCGATGTGGATTGGAGAGTGCCCCGGAAATAAATCCCTCACGTTTTCTCTTCACCCCCAAAGGTGGGTGGACAAAAAACAGTAGGCGAAACGGATGAAGCCATATGAATACTCAAACTTACCTCATCCTGACATGAGGCTTGCGGCAATGCCTCTCTGGCCTATTGCCTCTGAGATGCCCGGCAACATGCACGGATTTGTTGCAAGCGCCCCGTTGGTTTGGGTCTTGCACGCGTATGCGTATGGCTACATACATCATTCACATACTATATCTTCTATGTACATGTTATCATGAACATACGTGTGTATGTATATATATACGTATATGCAGACAGGAGAGACCCAAATCCTTGACATTGCACGCAGCAGCACAAACAACAAACAGAGTGCCTGTCTGATGTCTGTTGGGTGTGTGTGTGTGTGTGTGTCTGAGAATCAACCATGTAGCAATACAACACAAACACTGTGTTTGTATGTCTCAGTGTCAAGCGTGTTATTGAGGCATGCGGCGCCACCGGGCGCGTCGGTGGGTGTGGGGGATACGAAATACCGTCAGTCATCCGAGTCTTTTCGGACATGCGTTGGCCAGGAAGCATGTTGCGTAGTGCGAAAATGGTACTGCAATGTATCACATGTTGCACACATGACATGGTTGACCTTTGAGAGAGACATGTTGCAGACGCAGGAGAAAAGATGTACATTCAAGAGGGGCGCTCGCCACACATTTCAACTTCAGTGCCACACGTGCACCAACTGCATGCTTCGGACCCCCGCTCCCCGGCATTTTTCTACCTTGGCGTTGCCCGCTGGATATTGTGAGCTTCCATGCAACAACATATCATTGGCGATTGCAAATAAGCATTCTATACAAACAGCACAGGACAAATGATTGCCTTTCATTGTATTTCTTCCTGCTACTCTCAAGGCAACTTGTTGAGGGCGTTGCCCGACTGATACTCTTACACCTGATGTCCACAGCCAAATGTTCAGGAACGGACACATCTCATGCCGGGTGCTTGCTTAGCTGTTGGCCTCAAGCTTAGGTGGTCGCGTTTCATCTTGTTGAGTTGCATTTTGTTGATGGGGGTTGGAGTGAGTGGAGTTCGTGGGTGGGGTTGGGAGTGGAAAGGGAGTGGAGTTTGAATGAAGTTGCAGGATTAGTTGTGACTGTTGGATCCTGCACAAGTTTGTGTTTGTGTGTGCAAGCGTTCTCGGAGTTATGTTTTCGTTTGAGCGAGTGGTTCCTCGTGAACTTGCAGAAGCCAGCAAAGCATGTGCATGGAAAGTGCTACAATCCCTGCGTTACGGTGAAAAAACAGCTTTCTTGCTGTCAGATATGCATGTTGTATGGTTGCCAGCGCGCCTGGTTGAGTAGCTCTACAGAAAACAAAGGCAGGTGTGCCTGCCTGAACTGTCTTTCAATACCACGTGCAATGTGGAAACCAACATGCTTTCTGAACTGTGAGGTAGCAAGATGACACTGGATCCCCTCGGGCAATTTCAGTTTAGTCGTGATGCGTTGATTCGCTTCTTGAGCCTGCAAGTTACATAACTTCCTTCCGTCAACAGCTTCCTGCATCATCAGTCCCACCCTGCCCAACTGCGGGCAATTGTACGTGTACAAGGCTGCTCTACGTCAAGAGCTGACACGATTTCGTCCAGCGCAAGTGCCTCGTGCCTCATCCAACTCAACTGACGTCTTCAAACGAGTCAAAGAGATGAAGGATGCTGGGTGCCTTGCCTGTGTCACAGAAGCAGTGGGCAAAAGAAAGAGTTGCTGCATGTGGGAGTGCGCCAGACACTTCGGGAATCTCCAAACGACCTTTGTAGATAGTTGAGTCATAATTCATAATCAAAACTAACCTTCATCTACCCGGGTTGTGATTGTGGCTCAGTTTAGGTTGAGACCATCCCGAAGGGATCTAACCTGAGCTTGTATCCAAATGAGCGGGGTGCCCCAAATCAGCTTAGCCTCCTGAAAAACTGAGCAAAAAATGTGTCCCGTAGTGAAATCGATTCCCATTAAACCAACAAGGGAAAAATAAATGCTTCTCAAATTCAGCAAAAGGAAGTCAGTGGTTTCCCTTTCCCTTTCCAAGCCCTGTAAAAGGGCACTGGCTGCGTGGGACTTCCCTGCCTTGAAGGCTTCCTGGAACTGCTCGGCCTGGTCCGACCGACCGACCCCCCCAAAAAAAAATCTGTGAGTCGCGATTCTGGACCCTCCCACCGATTCACATGGAACCTGACGTTCGGGACCCGGTCCCTCTAAAACAAAAATTGTCGTCCAGGCCCCCCTGTCAGGTTCCATGTGGCTGTGGGTCAAAACCCTATACCCCTGGTGAACATCAAAATAGGTGGTACATGGGTGTTCATCCGCCCCAAAATGCAGGCATAGGTATGACCATGTGGCCTCGTCGGGCTCCCACTCATCGAAGTTCATGAGGCCCTCGAAGTCGCTGTCACCAAACCTGCCGCTCGCGCGAGCCGATTGGCCTGGCATGCCTCGGCGTTGTTTTTCCCCAACAGCTGAAAGCTTTGGGGTCTCAACCCAGATAGGCTCCGGGGTGGTCTGGGGCGGCCCTGAGGCAAGGTTCCACGAGGGTTCCACCAGGGTTCCACCAAGGTTCCACGAAGGTTCCACGAGGTTCTGCGATGGCTGCGGGGTGGTGCGAGCACTGAAAAGAGCACCGCATGCTGTTGGGGTATCACCCGAGCATATTTTTTTCGTTTTTTTTTCCCCCTTGGACATCCAATCAAACGGTGAAACACACAACATGATTCGACATGTTGCTTCACCATGATGCACCACCGGAATTGTTTGGCCCCATCGACGTTAGAGGAACCCGGTCCCTTTGAATTGAAAGGAAAATGGTCACCAAACCAGGGCCCCCCAAGAAACGTCGAACGGTTCCATGTTTGATTTGCCAAGTTTTTTGGCTGCCAGAGTTGATAATGGGTGTCGCTCGCCTGTCAGATCGTGCTTAATGCTTCGGAAGGATGGGCTTCTCACTCGACTTGTTGGCCGTTTCGTTTCGCTCCATGGGCCGAGAAGTATATAAGCTTAGGATAGAAACAAGATAAAACTGCTGACTGCCTCAGAAAGCCTAAAGTAGTAAAAACCAAGAGAAATGGAGTCCGCTGCATTCCTTCAGCGCAGCGCAGCACTACCGCCTTCCAAAGCTGCAAAGCAGCTACGGAACTCATCCTTGTACAAGCGGGCCGGCTCGGCTCGTCGAAGCCCATGCCACTCATCTTCTTCCGCATCAGTCTGGTGAGGTGCGAGTAGTTGGTGGTGATGTGCTCCTACGGTATCAACCACATGGGTGTGGCTCAAAATTAAACAGAGGGGTTACGCAGGGGTTGGTCCATGTTTCCACTTACCAGGGTTCCATTTTGGTACCGGTTTTTTGAGCCACAGCCACATGAGCCCGTTGGCCTGCGGTCTGAAGGCCAACGGACCACGGGCACCATCAAAGATTTACGGCTCACGGTCCTGAACAGGGGCCAGGTCTGGGGGTTCGCTCAGGGTCCAACCCACGGCCGTAGTTCACCGTGTCGCGGCAATCTTTTGAACAACCTCTTCGTTGGTCTTGCCATTTTGCCTACAGTAGGGCAGGGTTTGTGCAAAAAGCACATTTTGAATCTGTTGAACAACCTCTTCCTTGATCTTGCCGCCTTGCCTCGGGCAGTTTCTTTGGTGTACAAAACAAAATTCGCCCACGTCCCAAGTCCAACCCTCCTGCCACTTCATGGGTGGCACGTCCGGATGCGGCACCGCGGTGTAGCTCATCGGCTCGATGCCGACGCTGCCGTCAGCGGCACTGGCACGAGGCCGGTTCGGAGTGCGCCTTCTGTCATCGGGTTCAAGGGGCGGGGGGTGCTTTTGTTTAGGGGACCCCGCAAAATGGTGGTGTTTTCCTTTTGGTGTTTCTTTAAAACTGGCAAAAAGGGGTACCTTCAGCAAAAGACACGCGCAAGTAGAGCTCTCCGTTCCAAGAACGACTTCCCAGGGTGTAGTAGAGGAAGCCCTTTGTTGGGGGGCGGTTGAACAGGGATACCAAAGCAAATCCGTTGGGGGACTTCGTCTTTCACTTGCCACAGGATGCCAGGAATTCGACCAGCGTGGACCCCCAACCACATCTATGGCATTTGTGTGTGGTAAGGTGTTGTTGCTTTCACGTTGAGCTTCATAACGGATGCACAGCGCAAACATTTGAAATTGAGGACGAGCATCGACCCAAACATTGGCCAAGAGCTACAGAATTGAACAGTAAACATGTCGGACTCAATCGGAGTGAGTAAGCGACCATACAACATCCGACCCAGGCATCTGACAAGGGCCGACCAACTCAGAACTGGGAGCCGCATGAGTTGTGAAGCACTGGCAGAGCGGCCATGCAACTCGGACTTACCGAAAGTTCGAGTCAAGCAAACTGGGTACAAGGAAAATCGAAAGCCATACACTTCAGCCAAATTGCCGCTACTCGCACCTCCGTGTTTATGCATGCGCTCTGTCCGCCCCGTTTTGTTCAAGGGGAAGAAGTACGTGTCCTCCTTGTCGATCTCGGTTTGGCTTTACGCCATTTCTCCCATGTGAGTTGATACCCTGGTTCCACAGCATCAGGGTTCCTCTTTTTTTTCCACTGTCCGACTCTCAGGGCTCCCTCTATTTCCCCCTCAAAAACCTCACCCGCACCAAGGGACGCGCTCCTTTCATTCTAGGGGTACCTTCCCTGTTCTTTCCAGGGATCCTTCTAAACCTCCGGAAACCCAGGGAAAATGGATCCGGTTTTTGGAAAGAACGCTGGTTGAAAAGAATGGACAAGGAATCAACCCCTAGAGATTTAGTAAAAAAAGAGGCTCCTCGCCGGCTGTTTGGACGCCTTTGTTTTGTCGGATCCGCTAGATTCTAATGCCAGGCCCCGACCCGCTCCCAGCTCCCCGAACCGGAGCTTCGGCTCCGCCTCGTGAGCTTCAAGAAGGCGCCCTTGTTGTTGCCGGTATCCAGGTAGTTGGGGGCCTCAGATCCGGACCCGTGCCGCCCCACGGGTAAAAACCCGGTAAAAACCGTGCCGTGGGTGGGACCCACCACCCGTGCCGAGCGAGCATGACTCAGCGATAGAAGTGTCCGGGGTATTTGGGTTCGGCGGAAAAACTGGGAGCTGGACGCTGAAAACGCTGAGAAGCTGCTTGTGGTCCCACCTGACCGAAAAAGAACAAAGATTGCTTCTTGCACTTGAAGCCATCTGCAAGCTTCCAAGCTGTCGCGATGGGTGCGCCAAGATTTAAAGCCAGAAGTGGCAGCAAGCACTCAGCAGCTGATATTGTCATCTTGTATTTCCGTTGCATGAGACTTCTTGCACATTCGCACGTAAGGGAAACGGACCGAATGCGCTACACCATCATCCACTGTCAACAAGCATCCTTCGCCCGGTTCAATGTGCACACAAGAACATCCATTGCGTGCACACTTGGTGCGCTGGTTCGGGATGCCCTGCACATTTCGAATTCCCACCACCGTCACCTCCCCATCTTCGAAACGGGGCTCAAGCTCTCTGCACGCCTAGCTTAGCCGCGCGCCTGTATCCATCCGCCTTCACCTGCGAGAAACGCCGCGTCTGGCAAATCGCCGGGGGAGGGTACAGCAAATGATCCACACCTCATGGGATCGAATGATGAATTGCAAGTTGTTCAGCTGGCAGAAGGTGTCCGTAACATCTGGGCCTGGGTTGAACGCGCGCACCTATTGCAAGTTAGCCAGGGGCCGATGTGCAGGTAAAGGCGACTTGTTTGCTTGAATTCTGCTTGGGAACGTCAGTCCAAATGGCAGTGGTTATCGAAACTGGGGTACCTCCGAAATGGCTTGCTCTGGTACATGGAAAGGGCTAAAACCTGCAGTCCAATTCCTCGCGTATTTTTGACCCATACCCAGTCATGAGCAAACCTGGCTGACTGGAGCCACTTCTTGCAAGCCCGGAGATGGAAGCCAGAGCTGGAACCATAAGACGTAGACCCAGCCACACTCGCGCGTCGCTCAGGCCAGCGCCGAACATGTACACGCCCTTACCCTTACGGTAGGATGGGCCATACCTCAGAGCTCTCGAAAACGCTCGCTCTGGGAGAGTCGTAGGTGAGGTGCCCCAAAGTCAAAGATCAACCCCCGCACTTGCGATGAACAATTTCTCGGATCTCCAATCGTTCGGGGGCTTTGGCTTTGGCTCGGCACAGGTCCCAAAAAAGAAGAGGGCGGGTCGGCATGGGGGCTGAGTTTTTCAGATTCCTGGGGGCTGAGTGATTTCAGATTCCTGGGGGCTGAGTTTTTCAGATTCTTAGGGGCTGAGTTTTTCCATTAAAAACACCAAAAAAATACCAACAATATAAGAGCAAGACCCGTGACCTCTTAGATTTATTGGGGTGCGTTTGTTTTTTTGGGCTGATGACATGCAAGCACAGATTCATTTTCGATCCAATGAAGACTCAGATGCATCCAGACCTGGAAAATGAGCTAGCTTCAAGCTACACAGAAGACAGCCTGTTGAGAACTATTTTGCGCAAATATCATTGTTGGACACACATATTTAGCAAACGTGTGTCTGTAGCTTTTTTTTTGGATATAATTGGCATGCTTACGCATGCCAAGTTTATAAACCTCAGGGTGCTAACTTTTGGAAGACGTATGTTTGGCACAAATCTTCAACAATTTGCATATGTATGCAATATTTTGGAAGACGTATGCTTAGCAATCTGCAAGCAGATGTATGTTTGGGACAAATATTATTGTTGTGTTGCAATTCTGAAACACGTAAGTATGGCAAGCATAGCTTGCCATGCATATGAAATCATAAGAAACGTAAGATATCGCTGATCTATGCAGCTTTCAGCTGCCAGACTCAGCTCTTTTTACAGTTGGATGTTCAATATTTCAATATACGCATGGGCAGAGCGCATGGGCTCTGCCCATGCTCTTGAGAAAAGACAGCTAACACAAACATATTTATCGCATAATGAGCTGGAGCAATTGGAGCACAGCTCCAATCTAGTTGCTTGAGCTCAAGAAGCACAAGATGCAAAGATGAGCACCTGCAACGATATCTGCAGATGCAAATAACATTATCTGCATAAAGCTGTTCAGCTTTGGAATAAGAGCTTTGGAATAAGATTCTCTGCAGCTATTCGTGTTGCTGAAGAGCTCTTGCAACAGGTAGATTCAAGTAGACACAAGCAGAATAGATTCAAGTAGACACAAGCCACAAGCAATTGCTTGTGATGAGATGTTACCTGCAGAAGATGAAATGAGAGATGAGATAAATTATCTCCAGTTACCTGGAGTTACCTGCAGAATATCTTGGAAGAGGCTTATGTTCTGTTGATACACATCTCATCATATTATTGATGTCTTGCATCAAGAAAGATTGCATCAAGAAAGCATCAACAAAGTATTGTCTTCAGATGATGGGCTGTTTTTTGGTTTTCTTGGTATTTATGAGCAAAGGCACCAAAAAAACCAAAAAAAAACAGACCCATGGCCCTGAACTAGCAGATGCAGATGATGGGCTGTGTTTTTTTTGCTTTTTGTTTTTTTTTGCTGAAAAAACTCAGCCCTGAGGAATCTGAAAAACTCAGCCCCCAGGAATCTGAAAAAACTCAGCCCCCATGACGACCCCTTCTGAAAAAAAACAAGCTATTTGCGAAGCACAACACATAGTTCCAAAAAAAAAACCGCCGTGTGCAATTCCAGTATTCGATTCATGAGGCGCCAGCCCCTCGCCACCTCGCGGGTCGCCCCACAAGATGTCGATCAGACATCTTATGTCATTGACCTAGCGTTGCTCCGGCTGTGATGCTGGTGCTCGGTACAGAATGCGGGAATGAACCCAGGTTAAAGGAAAAACCACCAGTTGGATGGTTTATATGGCTGTGGGTCAAACATGGGTGCCCAAAATGGCTTGCCCTGGCAAATGCAACCAAGGACTAAAACCTGCGGTCCCCTGGTCGTTAGATTTTGACCCATACCCATATGGGTCATTTCATTTCTCCTGCCTATCGCACCAGCAAGGTTCACTCCCGTGCTGCCAATCTTACGTCCGGATGCTGGCATCGGCACAAAGAGCCTGGCCTCCTTGTCGTCGGTGGTGGGGCCAATCGACTGGGCATACCTCACAGGCTGGTCCGACTCAAATCAAGGCTTCAAGTGAGGCATAACCACACCCGGTACATAAATGGTGTACCCAGAACCATGCAAAGAACTGAGAAGGCGGCCGCAGCTATTTATGGCAAGGGGGTCGTCCCTTACTAACCGGATCATCTACCCGAATCGGCTTTGAGCAAGTGGCTCAAGTAGGGTCATGCCTTGGAGATCATTCCAACTCGACAAGTTGAAGGAGAACGCTGAGCTAAGTAGTTGCTGATTCGCGCCCAAAAACTCGCCGTCCCCATCAGGTTCAGCAAGCGCACCCAGCAAAATCAAAACAAGTTGATGGGTAGCCGTTGGGCTGAAAAGGAGGTTCCGAAGGCCTTCTGCCATCGACTCGACGATCTCGCCAAAGCAAATCACGAACAGTTTGTATTTTCCTGGTGGACATTTTTTCCCGAAGAAGAAGGAGCTTGGTCACAACACCGTGCGGAGCGCACCTGCGAGCAAGTACAAGCAGCCCTTTCGTTTGCACAAAGCGAGCAGTTACGAATTACGGTAGTACTCACCAATGGACCAAAGGTTCAAGCAATGCAAGCACAGAAATTGTCTCAATAGATCGTTGAGCATCATATGCAACGGACAGCAAGCCCAACAGCGCACGATTCTGGTGTGATCTCCAGGTAGCGATCCACCTGTGCGATGTCCTGAGCACATTGCCAATGAGACAATGTAGCTTGATGTGGCGTCAATCTCCGCGTGGACAAGAGAAGTACTTCCCACTGCAAGCTTGCAAGCTCGGGTTGAGTTGTCAAAATATGCCGTAATGGAAATTTCACGGCTGACTGCGTTCCAGCCGCCAGTGTTTGCCAACTCCTTCAAAACCAGAGCATCCGCATGCCTTCATAATGCTTTAGCCCTTGAAGCGCAAGGGATCGTCGGTAGCCTAAACATGTTCATAGATGCGATACACATTTGCATCACCACTCTCAACATGATCATCATGCAACGAAAAGTATCCAAGGCCAAGAAATGATATCTCCGCTATTGATATCAATGGTTGCAGCCAACTGCATTTCTGACCACGGGCAATTGTTTCAGTGCCCAGGGTTGATCGGATTTCTCATTGCCCCTCACCTGAGTCATGTGCTCAAAACCCGTGTAATTGGAGCATCCCCTTGCCACACGTGGCTGTGGATACCAGCCTTGTCAATTCTTGAAGCATGGTTCTGAAAAGATCGACCATTTTAATACCGGGTCTTGACTATGACTGGGGTGGGCAGCTGGTTACCCCTTAAATTGGTGACCCCCTAACAAAAAGGAGAACCGTTTTGGGGGGGCCAAAAAGAAAGACGAAGACGAATCGCCCAAGACGGGGCCCGTGCCTGCAAGGTGGGCAGCGCTGTCATGGGGATGGCATCCGTTGGGTCGTGCCTAAGGCGAAGCCCACCGAATGATCAAGCCTTAAACCGAAACTTAGATGCCAAGTGGGCAACCCATGGGGGAAAAAAGGGAACCCTTTTTCTTGGTTGGTTGAGTTTAAAGGGGAACCCTTACCCAAAAAAAGGGAGGAAAAAAAAGGGCACCACTGGGCAACAAAGGAAAGGAGACCTACTGTGGATGGTTGCGACATCAATTTCGCACCACCGTTCAGAAACCCTGGTTTCTGATTCGATTCCCCTGGAAACATATCAACAAACGTTATGGATTCAACCATGGTTTCAAGGTGGTGCAGAATTTTGTCCATCCACAGTAGGGATCCGTGTTAGAGAGTCAATCCATTCATTTGCCGATGCCTCACTCTGGCATTCTGCCAGAATGCCCGTTTGGACTCCTTGAAGACCACGCGGCTCAACTGTTGTCTGCTGATCTGTCCAACGCAATCAACCACAGCCTTGTCTATTGGCATTGCATGGCATTGCTCTGCAAAAAGCGTCTCAGTGAGACCATTTGGCGTAGTCGTTGGACCATCCCAGGAATGTATGGGTGCTTCTCAGAATTAGGGACTCTAGGTGGATGACTTTCCTCTTGGTCCAATCATTTGAGGTGCATTCATGGTGTCCTTCTTGGTTTCCCCTCTAGGTGCATGGTTTTCCTGGTTGAGGTGCCGGCTTTTTAAAGAGGCTGGCTGGGAACCCTTGCTTCGCTCTCAGGTTGGGGGCAACAGGCGGTATTTTCTGGGGGGCCTAGTTGGCCAGGCTGGGGGTCGCATCCCCAGCATCCCCATTTAGGCTTCGCCAGCAACTCTCTACCACCAAATCAAACTATTGGCAGCCCGAGTCCGAGCGAGGCCGGTGATGCTGGTGATGCTGATGCTGGTGATGCTGGGGATGCGGCCGCCCAGCTCACCCACCCACCCACCCACCCAACCAACCAACCAACCAACCAAACCTAACCAACCAACCAACCAACCAGTCCCCTGGCCGGCCGGGGCTAAGCCTCGTAAGAAAAAAAAAGAAGCACCGGTTGAAGTGGATGGTTCATGGCGTCCTCTTGGTTTCCCCTAAAAAAACCATCCCCAAAAAGACGGGGCCCCCTTGAGCCAGCTCGCTCGCTCATCTGAGGCCACCGCGTCTGCCCAGGCATCCAAATCCGAGGGTCCGGGCCTGAGATCGAGCGCCGGCGCTTTTTCGCTCGGGGACGTCTGAGGTCGGCATCCCCGGGGTTTTTTCGGGGAAGACCGGAGGGCCCTTTTCAGGGAAAGCAACCGGAAAAAAAACGGAATTAGATCGCTTCCCGAGTCGGGCCAAACCAAAATAGGTCCAAACTTTTTATCAGCGTCCCTCTACTTGGTTTTGGTTTGGTGGCGTTCCGGAGGGGCCCCCCTGGTTTCCTTCTTTGTTTTGTTTTTCCTTTTGCTTTCGCTTTTGAAATCAAGTACCCTTTAGTTGGTGGTTTGGATTGGTGATTGGTGGTTTGGGGATTTGAACGGGTCCCTGGTTCTTGTAGAGGGTAAATGGGGTTATCCCTACGAATTGGGAGGGGGGGGGGGGGGAACCTACAAATTTTGGGAAACCAAAAGGAAAACAAGAATTTGTAGGCATCCGGGACCCCAATTTTTACGGGTCCCACATGACCACATGACAAGTACTTAATATCATTTCTGTGTGAACGATGTTTCAGCGCTCCTTTGATGCAGGTGCACAAAAAAACGCTCGCAATGGGCTTTCGGAGACTTCCGGAACTCCAGGGTCAAAGGCCTCCTGGCAAACGTCTCCTCAGAAACGGCACATTGAGTTTACGCTTCGGATTAAAAAAACTCGCCATGTCGAAAAAATATCACTGCACGCATCGGACGGTCGGACGGGTGATGCAACCTGAAGAGTCCGAAGCCGCGACTGACGCATTTCCTGGTGGGAACAATGCCCTGCGGATGGTTGCGATATGTCCATTTCGCAGGTTCCGTTCAGAAAATCCCTGGTGTCTGATTCGATTCCCCTGGAAACATATCAAGCAACGTTGTGGTTTCAACCATGGCTTCAAAGTGGTGCGAAACGGATTTCGCATCCATCCGCAGTATGGGCTTCTCAACCTTCACCTGAACCCGAATTGGTCTTTGTTTCCATTTACCTTGAGGCCACTTTGGACTTGTCCATCTTGGGCCACAGTATGGGCTTATCAACCCTCACCTGAGTCACAATCAAAACCCGGTATTAAAATGGTCTACCCAAGGGCAAATGAGGCCTGTACCCGGCAGCCCACCATGCAGGACCAGCACCTGAAACGCTCAGAGCTCGCGTTGGCCGTGTTCGTTTCAACCACGCCCCATGCGAATTGTTGCGGCCACGGCCCGCTTTGTCTTCCGAACCAAGGGATAGTACTTAAGCTAATCGGTTGACCCCATATTCATCAACCCCCTATCTTATGAATAGGGGGGTGTTCCCCTCCAAAAGTGATCTGATTCCCCACCAAACCCAGGGACACCCTATTCATAAACTGGGGTTGATTCATATGGGGCCAACATTACTCTGGGCTAACCCCAAAAGGCACGGCTGGCGGCGATCTTCGCTTGGCGACTTATCGAAGCCCCCGCCTTCCCGTCCACCAGATGCGCCAGTGGGAGATTTCGGAAGGCCTGCGTCACTTGGGCAACCCCATGGGCCGGTATGGTGGACCCCTTTTTTGGTTGGATTTGTAGGGGAGCCAACAGCCAACCATTTTAGGGGACTCCCATTCTGAGAAACACCAAAAGTAGCGTAACCCCAAAATGGGCTGCCCGATCGGTCATTGGAAGCATGGACTAAAACCTGGGGTCCCCGAAAACTTTTGACCCATCACCACTTGGTTGCAGCATCTCTAACCGACTTTGCCTCCGAGAACAGGTTGAAGAGGTCCATGTCCTCAACATTCGCAGGTCCAAGCAAGCCCAACTCGCAGAACTGCCCAATTCCACACATGAAAGCAGCTCAACCTACAGCAAAAGCTCATGAAAATCTTCCGTGAGCATGGCACATCCACCGTTGCGCCGCAAGAACCGAGTCTCTGAGTCTCTGGCATACTTGGCGCCGCATTCGCCGCAAAAGCCGTACCTTTCTCGACTGAGCGTTTTCGACACACTTCGACCCAGTGCCGCAGGCTTCTTCCTACACGCCGCCCGGGTTGCAGGATGTTGGTCTCCAGCATCTCGTGGTTGCCCCGATTCAAGAACACCGCCGCTGGATCCTCGAACTTCCGAAGGAATGCGAGGGAAGGGATGTGGGAAAATATTTATGGGTAATACTTGGACATGGTTTCCTTTGCAGGGAGTCGGACATCCCCGCTTTGTCACATAGGCACATCCTATGTGGGCAGCGGAAGCCCTGTTTGTTGTGCGTGCTTTGACACATCGACCAATAGAGGAGGGAAAGCGGCCCAACACAAACCGCCTGCCCGTTGCCGTGCGTTCTCCTTCGATTCGCAGGTGGCAAAAGCAAGCAAGCCATAACCCGCTTGCCGGAATGTGGGGCATACTCGACAACGCGCCATGTCGTCATGTTCTCATACATCGCAGTATGTACATATCCATATTGTGATCCACCAGTGAACAAATGTGTGCTACCCTTATCTTGCAACGCAACCATGCCAAAACACACACACACACAAACACGGCATGCAAAAACAAAGAAACACGCTGTTTGCCTTCAACAGCAAAAAAGGATCGTGAAAACCAACCCACCAAACAAACAAAACACAACCAATCAAACAAACGAACAAACAAACAAACAAACAAACAGACAAACAAACAAACAAACAAACCAAGCAAGAGATCGTGAATTCTGGATTGGCTCCTAGTCCCCTGCTAGCTTTGAAGCGCTTGAAAGGCTAGGAGCTACCAAGATTTGCAGGGGAGTCCTCAGCAATCTTGGTACTTCAGAAGCTTCAGAACTTTTGAGCCCCCTAGAGCTAGGGTGGGCTGCAAGCCCACGTAGAAGAAATATATGGGATGTTAATTGGGTGCGGATTTATTTTGGGATTTTTATTGTGTTTCTTCGGATTGTTTGGGGATTGTTTTAGTTTTGTTTTTCGTCCGGGCCAGTAAAATGTCGTACACCATTTTCTCGCGATTGACGCTCCATGTTAATTTCAGCTGCTGCAGGACACAAACAAGCGGGTTCTTCAAGCATTTAGAGGTAATCCCGCCGGTACCACATCTACCAAAGGAAAAAACACTCGCATCTGCGTCTGTTTGCAAACTCAAATCCGAAACCAAACAAATCCTATGAGCCATTTTGGCTGCACGGACACAAAATGACATTGCTGTATTCAATTATTGAGTTTTGGTCATAACTGCATATAATACATTAGGCGCTAGACCTGAAACCAATTCCAAATGCGAAGAAACGAACACATTTCGGCATACCGACTTCGCCATCGCAGCTGCTCTACTCATTTCCAGGCAATGTGGATTTGGGGTGTATGAAATGTTTAACCTCGCCTGGGTTCCTGCATCTGTCCGGCACGATGAAATGACGCAACAGAAAAAGAGTGAGAAACAGGTGCCCTGCAACCACTCAAAACCAATTCAAACTGGGCCCTTCATGCATAACCATTCAAAACCAATTCGAAGCAACATGGGCAAACTGGGCATGACTGTTGCATAACCCAGTGAGGACATTCGTGTCACCTGAAGCCTTCATCCCCTTTTACCTTCCTTTTTTTTCCTTCGCGGCTGTTCGCCATCTCCCGCCTTCAGCTTGAGGGCGAAGATCGTGAGGATGACCTCCACACTCATGCCATGTGAATAGGGGGCCCCCTAAGGGTTGGACATGAATCACCGCTGACATGGATGTCTGCCAAATGCCCAGGTATTTTTTGTTGGAAGACATGAATCACCGCTGAAATGATCCCAAATTGAGTTTCACACCCATATCAGGGCAACGTCGCGGGTATCACATCTAGAGAATTGAAAGCAGCGCTGTGCTCAGCGAACTGTCCCTGCCTCAATCGACCAGGAGCCTCTGTCAACGAAGTCGCCGTTGAAGATGAAGGGTGTAGTGGGCGATGGCTTGCCAGTCTGCACGGGTTCAGAAATCCCACTCGGGCCCTTGCCTAAAGCCTTTGTCACATTGCAACAGCGTCTATGATCGCACCCGCGTGAGGACGAGTTGGCCACGATGTTTTTTTCACGCAGCCGCGCCATCTTCAGGAGGTTCATGAAGTCCCAGTACTGGCCATGGAGGTCCCCGATCTCAGATTCCACGAGCCAACCCTTGAATGTTGGTCCAAAAACGCGGCCCCGAAAAGGGCAAATCTCATATTTGAATTCCATTCGTCATGAACATGGGTTGCCTCTTGACTTCAAACTGCGATTGTGGCAATGTGGCAATTCGCGGAAAGGTCGAGTCTTGATGATCCCAGCCGCGCATGTGCCTGGCTCTTTACGAGCTTCGGTTGCTCCTTCAGACTTCCTTTCGCCTGGTTTTTTTTGCTCTGCTTCTTGCGAGTGTCACTTTCGTTCTGGTGGCAGGGCCAGGCTCCACCTTGGGAGCTCGACGTTTCGCGCACCTTTCGCCCTCCTTTCGTGCTCCTTTCGCGTTCCTTTCGCATCGGTGAAGCTTGGATTGGTTACGTGCCCAGTACCTTGGCACCAGCAAGAAACCAAAAGCCCATCATGAAATTGGTCCTTGTCCGCATCCGTTCCTTTCGCCGGGCTTTCGCGATGCAGATTTTTCCGTGCTGGTTGTGCTTCAGGACCACCCTTTACCGAATGTAAGACTTGCACTTCCCCATATGTATTGGCAGGCACCACAACAACATCAGTACTTGGCAAGAGTGGTCATGTGTGTCTGTGTGTGTGAATCTTGAAGGGGGACCCTTTGGTGGACACTGTTTCTGTAAAATATATATGTCCCAACCATTGAGGTGCCCTATCCGAGTCGCATACAAAACCCTGTACGGTACTTGATCAACTGAGGATAAACAGTTTGCCACCGAATATTTCTGAAGTCCATGGAAAAGCTGGCACCAAACTCTACTGGGTGGGACTGCCAATTCGCTTCTTCTGCGAGACCAAACAGAAAAGCCACACAAGATTGGTCTCACTGCTCCCTGGACAGGAATGCTCATGGTCTGAACCATGAGAGGAGTGATGACCCTCCCTTTTTGACCATGGCCCATCTCATGATGACAGCCACCCCCCCCGTGGAAACTCCATCACCCAGAACCAAACTGAGCATCGCGCCACCGTGAGATGACTGCCTTGAGGAATGGAAGCCTGATACGAGTGCGCAAATGGCAGCCTGTCACTGCATCAAGTAGGATAGATGCAACGAGGGAATGGGGTTGTCTTGATTAGTTTCCACTGTGGCGCCTCGCGGTGCCCAATGTGGCGAAGCGCTTTTCCACCTGCCTTGCCCAAGGTCTGCTCCGATTTGAGGACTTCAATGATGTCCAGGACCATCAAGTAGGCATCCTATTGATTCGTTCCGGAAATTATCTTTCACGCCGGCGTCTAGCATGAACGGGAAGCTCCCAAGATTCGGCGAGAATCAGGCGCTTTGGTGGAAGCTAATGACACCTTGCGTTATGAAGACATAATTGAAAGGAAGACATATGGAAAAGAGCAAGGGCACTTGAAAGACTTCCCCTGCCTTGGCTGAAGCCTTGGCTGAATCATATTTCAGGTGGGTATATCCTTGAGACTCCATTGTCAAGGAAGCGCTCAGGTCCGGTTTCAACAAAACAGTCTGAGCGCAAGGGGTCCATCGCGTGCTCTTAGCAAGGGCGATGCCGCAATGCCGAATGAGTTGGAATGACCCCGATGAACCATCCCCTATGGCCCTGTGGTTTCCTTCACGGGTATAGGTTCATCCCCAAAGTAGTGAGCACCAGGAAGGCTCGAGCGAAAATGAGAAGAACACCCTCCTTCTTGGGGAGCAGCTGGCCCTGCTCTTGCGCCTGGATGAGGCCCTCAGCTTGCAGAATTGAGTCTCACTTCCGATCAAGATGGGCCAAAAGAAAAGGAACCAAGCTTTCTACTTACCGCTAAAATGGTCCAACTCCAAACTGTGACTAAAGTCCAGGAACTCGGGAAGTGAGAATTGACCTCCAGAACACCAGATTCCTGTGGCAAAGATCTGGGCACAGGGGGTACTGGCAAACCAAATTATCTGCTTCAGGGCATGCTGGCTGGTACCCAAAAAGACTGGTACAAATAACATCCAACATTGAGTCGAGGCCTTGAGAAGCGGTCACTGGGCATCTGTCACAGCCGCTTCCCCTCCAACTCGCGCAACTCTTGGCATGCGAGGCGCGTCCAGAAACGCATCGTTGATGCTGCCAGGGCCGGTATACCGTGGCCTCATGGATAGCTTGCAGGGGCTCGCGATCTCGCAACAAACTGCGCAATATTGGCAGCTGTGCCTGAACGTCTTTCGCACTTCGCTGACGCCTGGCCCTTGCATTCAACACATCGCCAGGATTACCTGCATTTGGAAACCAACCACTTTCAAGGCACTAGCCAACAAAAACAAATCAGAATGTGTCTGGTGTATTCATCCAAGCATTGCTCGACAAGTCTGTCAATATGTCTGTTGGGAAAGCTGGGGCCCGAGCCCACTGTAGCCTGGCTCCTCCGGCAAGGCTTGGGCACGCTGTCGCTCTGCCTCAGTTCAATTCTGGGAAAACTGCTCGATGCGATGCTAACTGTCAGGGGTCACAGTTGGCGAGCTTCGGAGTCCCGCATGCCGCAAGAATGATTCCAATGGTCAAGTTAGGCAGCTTCGGTGCGTGATGACTTGCTGGCTAGTGTGTGGCACGCGGTTTGGCAAGCAAGCTATCACATTGCATCAGGACCAGAAGTACTAGTGAGTGGTGTTAAATCTGTGGTGCATCATTTCTCGTTCAGCCGTCAGAAGCGTGACAGTGTATGTAGCCCTTTCTACCGGGTCTGCACCCTACAAGACCTCTTGCAAGAGATTCTTTGCAGATCCTGCAATTCGATGCTTGCACTTTCGGCACTTTGCCGCGCCGCGGCGACAGCGATCCGCAGCACCCATAGTCCGCAGAGGGCTCACTTTCGATGTTCAAAGCTTACAACGCGCCACGACGAGAGCGATCCAAACCACCCGAAGTCCACAGAGGGCGCGCGCGTTCGAAGCTTAAAAATGCATATCGCGACACAGCGACAGCCATTCAAAGCACCCAAGTCCGCAGAGGGTTGATGTCAACCATTCGCGCAGCGAGTGCGCCACAACACGCCAAAGTCCGCTAAAGGTGCATCAATCCACCATTTCCGCAATGCGCACGGCACCACAGCAAGAGCGCACCTTTGAGAAACACCAAAGTCGTCCACGCACTTCCACGCACTTTGCGCGAGCCTGCGCAAAGGAAGTGGCCGGCCCAAGGCAAGCACCATGATCGAGCACCCCAAAATGGTACCATTGGTTTTGACCCACAGCCATTTTGGCACTCACAGCAAGAAAACCAGAATGCTTCGCGGCTTCGTTCTACCAGGGCGCCGCAAGCTCCTGCGGCGTCCAGCCAGTCAGCCGCCTGTCGCCGAAAAATCCCATGGCAACGCCGTGATAATTTATGAGTGGCCATGGGAAGGAATACTCAGGTTGTGTTCACCAAACGCGCAAAGTGTCAAGCAAGGGCGCATCTGCTTCAATGATAAGCAACTCATGCAAGCTTCAGTTCACACAAAGCATGCCAGTCTGCGAAGCAAATGTACATGCCCCGTGATGACCGAATGCAAGTTTACTGCCTTCAAGCTTGCATTCCATCTGTGCATTCAGGTTTGAATGGACTGCCCAAACACGCTTGACTAATGGAGTTTGCTTTTTGTGAACAGCACAGGGCGAAACATGGCCCTCTTGAGCTTACTGGTTCGACCTGCTCACGATATGCTCGAAGACGGTCGCAATACCCAGCCACAATGCAGAGCATCCACATGCATCCACAATGGTCAGACTGCAAACTCTTCGTTTTCAAACTTCAGCGCTTTGATTAACCTGCTGCATTCACCTCCTCCTTGACCGCTCTCAAACAGGCCAGGGACACGGTTGCCACATGTCGGTAGCAGCCTGCAAAAGCTCATCAGCACCCGGGATCCCAGAAACTGACATAGCCTGTAGTCAATGTCTTAATGTGAAGGATTGCCTATCTGCGTACAAGAATTGCAATGCAAATAGGCGACACACCTTCTCCAGATTTGCAGTGACACGGGAAACCACCGGAAACCGCAAAATACAGTCAAACACCCCACAGTTGGCCGGAACAGCAAGTTAGCGATGGCTTCATGTCTCGTGCTGGTGCCGGACTCCTGCGTTGAAACACAAGCTGGCGCTGCGAGTCGCGCCTCCGCTCGCATCGTTGTGCGCGGATTCCTTGCTCGCCTCGAGAAGCGCGAGACGAAGAGCGGTTCGGTGTGGTTGTTGCTTCAGGGGAGCGGTGGATGTTGCCGTAATTGAGGCATTGCTGAATGAACATTCAAGCGTAATCGAGGCAGGGCTGAATGTTAACATTCAACAAAACAATATACGACTCTGAAGAGAAAGTGAGGAATCACTCACGCATGTCGTTCGATCCAGCCATTTGCGTACGCGGTTTTGCCCTGTGAGCTCAAGTGGGCTTTCTGCCCTGGATAACCGCCGACGCAGCGTGTACATATCCATCCACATACTATTCCCTTGCTGCCATTTGGCTCAAGGCCTGTTCTGTTGACATGAAAGCAGCTCTTCAAAGTAAAACCCTCGAACTGCTTGCTTTTTCAGCCGCAAGCCGCAGTTCGACCTGCATTCCACTCTTCAGCAAACTTTTTGGGGACCCCTTTTCTTGGTTGCTTTCTGCTCCCCTGCTAAAAGTTTAACTTTTAGTGGTTTAATGGAAAACCCAGTAGTTTGCAAAAAGTTCTCAAGTCTTAACATCCCTTGCCAACATGCACCAATTAATGGTTTGCCGGATTTCTAACAAGGTCCCAAAAAGTTTCAGTACTCCGCGCCAATCCGAGCCCCCGCGCCGAGAGGCCGCGGCTATGGCGCCGGCACCCAAACACGCAGGCAGCAACGCGGAGCCGCCTGAACTGTCGGCAGCTCCAACCAGGGAGGAGCGGCAAGAGACCGACTGTGGATGGACTCGAAATCCGGAAATCGCACCGCTTTGAAACCGGCGGCGACATCGCATTAGAGAGAAGTAGTACACCACTCATACCTTGATACTGTGGAAGGACAAAATCCTGCACCACTTGGAAGCCATGGGAAACCATTGTTTGTTGGTATGCACAGGGGAGTCAGAATTCCAGGGTTTCTGAACGGTGGTGCGAAATGGATTTCGTCCATCCACAGTATGGCTGTGGTTGCCAAAAGTCGGCTAACCCCAAAATGGCTTGCCTTGGAAACAAGGACTAACATCTGCGCTCCAATTCCTGGTGGCTTGATGTTGCCCCATACCCATATGGGCCATGGTCAAAACTTCTAAAACGTGGCCTGTGGTTATGGTTCTCTTCATAGGATTCAAGAATAATGGTGGTGCTCGAGGAGTCTTACCACCAGGTGGATGACCATCCCGGTTAACCCCGAGCTAAAGGGGTCTTTGCGCCATGGCACATATGTGCAATGTTCAACCGAACATTGGAGCGCTTCCATTTACCAGGGAAGCGTGTCAAACTGAAGTGATGTATCAAACTTCCGGCGCTGGCTTGTGGGATAGCTTTGATTGGCAACTTGGCAACCAATGGACACCAAACACGGCAAAGGGGGCTGCCATTAGAACTTGGCAAATGAAGAAACCTCTTCATGCACTTGCCGCGCATTAAGCTCCAGCAATTTCAGGGTGGATGATCACCAAGTTGTCTCTCATTTGCACGGCTCCCTTGATGCTGGTGGTCACACTGACTTTGCCACTTTGAATACAGGTTCCTTTGGTATCACTAGTGGACCGACCACCTCCAGATGCACTTGAAGGTTTATTCCCTAGGGTTTGCCCGAGTCATGCCGTAGCATGCAGTGACATTGCCCCTCCACATCCCGTCCAGCCTGTGTTCCTCTCACTTGCACGCTCTCCTGCAAAGGTGAGTGAGCACCCAGCTGGTTCTTGGAAACCTCGCCAAGCCCTCAAAATGTGAACAAAGGGTTTGGGTGGCACATTGCCTCTGCAAGGGACAAATGATGTTCTCAAATGCCAAACACTTGTGACTATTGACACCAAGACATGATAATTAAGCTGCAGGTTGAAAATGCAAAACATGGACTCGAGCAACGGTGCGCCTAGCCTGCAAATGAACTGAACGCTGACGCAAATGACCACTGCAGCTTGCCTGTGTCTCTTGCTTGTAATTTGATTACTCTGAATCCCGCCCGCAGGTCGCTCCTTGCACGCCGGCCCTCAGCATCCTGGCAAGCCACGCGTACAGCGCTGATCTAGGCAACACAAATTTCAATCATGGCCTGAGCACCTAGCCTGAGGATGACCTCGACTCGGTTTATGCGGATCCGCGTCAGCTCTTGAGACTCATGCACGCCAGCAAGCTGGCAACCAAAGAAACGAACATATCCGCCCTCCCCCAGGCGATTCCATGGAAGCTCGGACCACCGAAATGAACAACTTCTTTCATAAAGCCTTCAGGAGCTTCCATGTGAGGGAGTATACTCAAATCCCTTCAGGAGCTTCCATGAATGTGAGTGTACTTAAACCCACTCATCTACTTTTGTTGCGCCTGTGCGGCCTCCTCGTCTGCGGCTCGCGGCTGGACACAAACCTGGGGATATCAAAATCACTTGTCTCGCATCGCATGTTGGATAACGGCTTCTTTCCCTCCGCCCAAAGGGCTCTTTCTGAAATGCGGCAAAGGATTGGGGATGTCCTTCGTTCAAAGTCGGGCATGGTCACCTCGTGCGCGAAGTCAGATTGAGCCAACAGAAAGCAAGCAGCACTGTCTAACAGGTGGCTGTGGCTCAAAAAACCGGTCCCAAAACAAAATCCTGGTAAGTGGAAACATGGACCCCCTCCGATCGTTTAATTTTGAGCCACGCCAAACGTCTCTCTGGTCATTGAGCCTCTGGCGCCACATGACCCACGGCAGAGGCTGCCACCTGAGCTCCCCCCTCCTCCCGGGTTGTCACCTACTTGCCTTCGCAGATTTCCGGCTTGTACCCATAGGCAGCATGCCCCTCAAACCAAAAAGGGTGCTTCGAAAGGCCGGACATCCACTCGTAGTCCAAAAAACATATCTGCGCCAATCCACATTCCACAGACTTCTTTCCACTCCAATACCTGTGGCCATGGGTCAAAACCCAAATCGTACCCCCAATGAACATCCGATTCAATCCGCACTAAAATAGTTTCCAAAATGGGTGGTGAATTCACCTACCTTCCCCAAAAGGGGATCCCAAAAGCCAGATCCCTTGAGCCCAACCTTTTGTGACATTCCCGTCCCAACCGCCGCCGAAAATCGAAGAAGACCTGAGGGTCCCAGGCCGCGCCCAGGCAGAGATGCTCCGGCCGAGGCATCGCCTGCCGAAGTCCGAGCTCTCAGAACTGCAGACCTTGCCCAAACTCAAGTTTTCTTACATGTCCCTTGTTTAAAAACTGCCCACCATCAAACCCACAAAGGGGGTAGCACTTCAGCCCCTCAATTTTTTAGCCCAAGACATTATTCCAGGGGCCCCGTAATAAAGTCTTGATGCATTGCCCCCCCTGGAAACATCTCAAAAGGAAGCTCCAGCAATACTAAATCAAGTGGAAACTCAAGTCTACCAATACTAAATCAAATGGAAACTCAGTTCCAAATCTCAAAAGGAAGCTCCAGCAATACTAAATCAAATGGAAACTCAAGTCTTCCAAATCTCAAAAGGAAGCTCCAGCAATACTTAATCAAATGGAAACTCAAGTCTACCAATACTAAATCAAATGGAAACTCACTTGAACTGGATCTGAAGATACTATTCCAGGTGCCCCCATCGTTGGGGGGGGGGCCCCCTTTACTAATCCCGATTGGACATTATATAAAAGTCAGGCCCATCAAAGACACGTGTTTTTTTGCAGCCGCTCCGTGAGAAGATGGCCCGCTTTCCACGAAAAGTTGGCATTTCCTGCCACGTGGCCACCAGCGGTCGCACGTTGGTTAGGGCAAGTTGCCGTTTGGACCACTAAAACTGAGAGCTCAAAGGGGACATGTGCAGCTTTGCTCCCTTGGCAACAGTGTTGTTTGTGCTCAAAAAGTGCCAGAACGATAGGAAACGCCGTTCTCTGACTAAACAGCAGAAACCAACAAAGCAAACAGCCCTTCAGGAAGCCACGGGGTGGGCAAGTTGTAAGAGTTGCCCAACATCCAGCGTCAAACGCTGCGAGCCTGGGAGTCGAATACAGCGGGGGTAGGCTTTTTGCTAGGGAAGTTGATCAAAACGATTGGCCCTTCTTAGGAGCGTAAAGCAAACCAAGCTGGGCGGTCCTCAGATCCTCTGCTGGGGGTAACCAGCTGTTCGTGGGTTAAAGGAAAACCCAACCACTAAACCAACTAAAAAGCTAAAAGCTAAGGAACCGGATGGCTGGGAGCCACCAAGTTCAACGAAGGCCTTTTCCGCCTGCCTTCAGAGATGTGCGAGGAGGGCCGCGCTGACCCTCGCTCTAAAATGCTGGACGGGCAGCAAAGGAACGGCTGGCCTGAAAGGGAACAGCCAGTAAGAGCACTCGTGCATGGTGAAAGCGCGCATAAGTTGCTGGCCAATGTTCAACTTTACATTGGCGTCTGTGGCAACATGGGCTTGCTGATGCGGAAGCACTGCCCCAGACTTCAAATCACGCAACAGAGGCAAACCGGTCTTTTGGCCACTTTGCCACGCAGCATCGAACACGCTAGAAACTTCGCCCGTTGAAGGCGAAAGATCCCCGCACCGGGCAACTAGTAGCCATCTTGCCGTCGCTCGTAATCATTGTTTCAAAGAATGCCATGAGCCAAGCCGATAATCCTTGTCAAAACAGATGTTGAGACCATGGCGGAAATGGCAGAGGATCGACTTGGCATGATTGTTTGAAGCATGCCCGGTGCAGGATCTCCGCCATCAGTTCCTTCGCCCATAGGTACCATACCCTCCCTTCGCACAATCGCCCATCAAAGCTAACCCGCTCCAATCGTGTCCGAAGGGTAAGGAACCTATTGCTTTGGCTGCAGCGCTAGGCATCCTGCAACTTTTCTGTACAGCCGCTATCTCGAATAAACAAACAATGCAGGCCATTTCATCAAATTCCAGGTCGGCGGCTACTGTGAATGCATGAAATCGAAGCGACGGTTTTGGCAGTTCCTACTGTGGATGGACAAAATCCGTTCGCACCACTTTGAAATGATGGTTTAAACCATTGTTCGTTGGTAGTTACAGGGGAATCATCATTCCAGGGCTGCTTAGGTTGTGCGAAATGGATTTTGGATTTCGTCCATCCACAGTATAGCTCCGGAGCTTTGAGCTGTTCTGCTATCCAAGGAGACAAGTTTGAGCAGGCTGCAATGGTTTGGGATTGGCTTTGAGGGAAACCAACAGGAAGACACCCCAGATGCGCTGATTCGAACAGTAACACACCTAGGGATACAATTCAGCCTGAGGCCTTGCCGTCTGGTCACGCTGAGCGGCTGTCAACAAAGCGCAAGCTGCGGCTGCAGAATTCCCCGTGGCATGTCTGCTTTCAGCAGCCCAGCCAGCCCCAAATGCGGCGCCTTCAACGTATTGCGCCGGTGCCAATTAAATCAGAGCAACGTGCCCAACGCGCCCTCTAAAAACGCACACCATCGCATACGGGCACAAAACCGATCCCTCTGGTGAGGAAACGCCTCTGATCAGTTCACCGGGCGTCGGAGGTCGCACCCAAGGATGCACGTGGCCTCCAGAAGTTTCTCCCCTGACCGCCCTTGTTTCCAGAGCTCATCTCAAGCGTTGGGGCCAATCGGGCGATAGACAAATGCTCGTTGGACAGGGATCCTTACATTATACACCTGAACATTGCCTTGTAAATGGTGGTTTCCCTTTATTTTGGTGGAAAAAGCCATATTTCAAATGGGCAAAATCTATCTTTTAAGGAGCCCTGTTGGAGTGTCTGAGATAACTAGTGGTAGCAGGCGAGACGGATTTTTCCTTTATTCCTTTTTTCGCCCTAACCAACTTGACGTCCAATGGAAAGGTGGGCTGGTGAAAAAAATACAAAAGGGATCAAGGCAAACGACTGACCTTGCCAAAGTTATCCTCGGGTGGCCCAACTGTCACACACCACCTGTTGAAGATGAGGCATTGACACTTCCATGGCGGAAACAGGCTGGAGGCAGCACAAGCGTGCAACACCGCCTGCCTGTTTGTCAAGATCGTGCCATGCAACAATAGTAAGCCTCAGAATCCTAGTCGAAAAGCTGGTTCAGCGGGATGCTGCTGTGGCGCTGCAACGAATGTATTGTTCAAACAACGGCATCTCCCTATCCTGCAGAAGCTTTCACCCACATCAATTCCCCCACACAGGCGAGCGGCCAAATAAGTTAAGCCCAAAAATCGCATCTTCCTGAGGATCAAACATTCTTTGGCCATCCCCAAAGGTCGGGGGGGGGGGGGGTTGAGGATACCCTTTTTAAGATTGGCTCAAAGTGAAGCAACAACTACCATAGATGGACCAAATCCATTTGGCACCACGTTGCAACCATGATTGAAACCATATAACGTTTGTTGGGATTTACAGGGAATCATCTCATTCCAGGGTTTCTGGACGGTGGTGCGATTTCTGAATTTCGCAACCATCCACGGTACTTCCGGCCAGGCCATTGGTGGTTGCGCCAGTTTCCCTTCGCCCAACACCTCACGATTTGGGGTCCCAAAGGGGGTAGGCGCTCATTCGGGTCCAAGAACCTTGTTCAGATCGAGATTTGTTTGAAACCATAGCGCTTCGTGCTAATTGCCGAAGAATCATCATTCCAATTCCAGCATTTCTGAATGTTGAAACCATGGTGGACACCATAACGTTTGTTGGGATTGACACGGGAATCGCATCTCAAGCCAGGGTTTCACGATGGATCTCATTCCAGGGTTTCTTTGAACGCTGGTGCGATTCTTCTCCGGATTTCGCCACCATCCACAGATATCCACAGCATTTCCGGCCACAAGTTGGTCCTTGCGCCAGTTTTCCCTGCGCCAGTGCAGGGGAATCATCTCATTCCAGAGTTTCTGGAGGGTAGTGCGTTCCATGTGCTAACTCTTTGCTACTCGTTGAAACCCAGGTGGGCTGGTATGTACCGGGGAATCCTCAGAACCCCGGGTGTCTTAAGTGGCTTGATGTCTGGAGTTCGATTTCGCAACCATCCACAGCTCCGCACATTTTGGAGACTTCCACCCGGAAATGGCCAGACAAATCCCACGTGTTGCGTCCACTCGCGACCGCGGCTGCCGCTCGGCTCCGCCTGCTCCGCCTCCAGGTCGTGCTGCGGCGCCGGCTTCACAGAGCCCGGGGGCGACCTGTGGAAATTTCTGCGTGGACGTCAGCCCAGAGCAACGTGGAGCTCTGCAACTCTTGGGATGGGAGCAAAAAAAACCAAACGGTTTTTTGCAGCCCCAAACGAGGGTTCAAAGACCGCCTGTAGAAGATGAAATCGCTAGAAACAAGAAGTTGCCCGTTAAGCAGTTGGAAAACGAGCAGCTTTGCAGCCCCCCAGAAAGAATTGAACAGACTCGGTAGGAGAGCAAAGAAGAGTGGGACATGTCAGCTTCCCGCTTAGGGTGGTGCCGTTAAGGAGGGGTAAACCCCATGTACCCTCTACAAAAGCCAGGGACGCGTTCAAATCCCAAACCACCAATCCAAGCCACCAACTAAGGGTTACCTGATAAAAGAGTGTGCAAAAATTGTAAGAACTGGCAAAACAACATGGGTGGGGCTCAAAAAAATAACAGCTGGGGTTTGCATTCAAAGCATGCCAGTCTAATTGTTTGAACATTCACTAGCCTGTTTTGCGTGTGGCTTAAAATGAACAGCTGTGGCAAACCGCAGATTCTATTCTTTCCCATATACCAAGTTCCTTTTTTTGGGACACCATTTTTTGATAAATAGCCGTGACCAGACCAACCCGCGGACAACAAACCAAGCGGGTTAGCCATGCAGGGTTTCTGTCAAATGAAGCATCCCTCCCGATGAGTGAGCATCATTCTCGGAAGAAAGGGGCATCCCTGCAGGCCAGGCAGCGGTAGGCTTGCTAGACAAAATGGACAATCCCATTCGGGCAACACGCTGACAAGAATGCTGGTAAGAAGACAGGGAGTCTGGCAACACTCACTACTTGCATTGAAAGGGCTAGATTTGCTGTTAGCATCAATTGAGATGTCGATTGGATTCAGACAAATCCCCCAGTCTGAAGCTTCTCTCATCTGAACCCAAATTTCATTTGGCGCGAGTGAGCCAACAACTTCCCAGTACTTGCCGCTGCCATCGCGGCTTGTACCTTCCATCCCATAGGCTGAGCCCCCTCGCTCCAAGAGGATGGAGATGCGGTCGCCTTCCGAAATTTCAGCCTGGCTCAGGGCCCCCTGAGGCATACTACAAGATGATAGCAGCCCCACCCGCATCCTGCCCCCTATCCCTGGGCCCTCCAGTAGAGAGGTTAGAACAAGTTGGTACCCGATCTTTTTCTGTAGTCTATTTTAGTAGGGGAACCCTCCCCCAAAAAAGGTCAACAGGGCACTACCACTCAAAACTGTTGAGTGCCAAATTATCTTTGCGAGTTACAAAGCAACTAACTGCGTCCGCCGATTCTGCGCAACATAACATGGCCATTCACGGAACTTGCCCAGCCAAGCGACCGTGCCTTATGCTTTATGCATTCAGGACATGCGCAATTTATTGTAGCCTTTTTTTAAAATCTTACTAGTTCGCGCTTTTCATCTTGAACAACACATCTAAGCTGCCAAGGGCTCATCTGCAGTTGATCCCCACACATCTGCGACCAGAAGCCCCACATGCTCACAGCGTGAGTCCCACCCGAGGCATCCGTCTCGACGCCCGGAGGAAGGCGCCGAAGGATCCCATTCCGCGAGCCCCCGGCCTTCTCGTTTCTGGCGAGGTAGCGCCACCTGCCCGATGCCGGACCAGACCAAGGCGAGGCGACTGTCCATGCTAGCAGCCCTGGCGCATCCAAAATCCGAAAATCCACATGGATCACATCCCAAAATCCACATTGAACTGGCCGTCTCTAGTGAGGATCGCTCTTTTGAACTGGCCGTCTCGAGTGATTGTGCGAGCGCTGCGAAGCATTGGACCCACCGACTGTGGTATTGTGCGACCAATGCCATGAAGAAAGTCGAAGACAAAGAATAAACGATGATGCAGCTTCTGCTTTCAAGGGAGCTAAACAAAAATGTGCAAAAACAGGCAGTCTAATGTTTTCATGTCAGCGTGCACGGTTCTTGAAAAGCCGGCTCTATGGATGTGTCCTATCCTTCGGCCACTGCGAGTGAATAGGTTCGCGGTGATTCACGTTGAACTGTACAACTTTGGGAAGCGAGGTGCGGCAGAATGCTGTACACAGCCTGTCTCAGACCCAAACAAAAGATAGCTCTACTCAAGAGAATGCTTTGGCAAACCCAGCCGTTACCGGTAGCCCATCACTTGTGCTTGTGGCGCATATTGTGGCGCATATTGTGGCGCATATTGTGGAGCATATTGTGGAGCATAGATGGGTGGACCCATCATCACCTGCTCTGGGGTATAGCCAGCTGGATACATGGCTGGCCCCTGCGCGCACACTGGTGGCTGCTGCTTCTGCGATTGACAGCAGCACGGGCAGCAGCAACTCAAGCATGCAAGGCAGCCAATCAACTCGCAGCAAGACAGCACACCACAACCTTCGAGACAGTCACGGCCGCAGTCTCCTCCACAACATCCTGCACAAGCGGCACAGCAGGCTGCACAGCAAACCGCGTCTGCAGCTGCGGCTTCAGCGACCTGTGCCATCTCTTTCACAAGTGGCCGGAGAAGTGCAAAGAGCTTGAGCCAGCTGCCAGCTACCGGTGAAATCGGCTGACTCTACGTGTTGATTATACATATATATATATGTATATATGTGTATATATATATATATATGTTTATACATATATATATATATATAGTGGGGGGGTGTTCAAAGGGAGCCCGTTTTGATTTCACAAGCCCGGCGTGTCCGAAGAGCGCCTCGTCTCCCCAGCTCTGCGGATGTGCATGCCCTGCGGGGTAAGGCCGTTGGCCATGGCCATGTAACCGCACCTCGGCTTCCAAAGACGGGCAGTTGAGCAAGCGGTGAACTGAGGCCACCTGGACATACGGAACAGCATGTAAGGCTTTGAAACCTGTCCTTGATTCCTTGCGAATGGGGGCCAACCGCAGGCAAACTGTCTCAGCTCGCAATGACACACTGACACCCTTGGAAAATCTATCTGCGAAATTGGTTTCGTCGCTGCCTTCATCTTGGTATCAGGTACCTCAATCCTGCGGATCTACGCATACTCTCAATTCACCCACAGTGAGATCATGTGAGATCCTCTGTCTTTCCGGAAGCGTCGCTTGGCACTTTCTCCAGCTGAGTGCACAGCTCCGTAGTCTCCTGCCGCCCGCATGCTGGCCAAAACAACGGGCCCCTTGCTGCTTCCACGATCACTACAAGCGGGTCTTTCCATCAACTTGGTTTCGATCACGGTGAATTGCTTTCGCAACTTTAGACTCTTGCCCTAGCCCAATGGAGTATCGAAACAGTTTGCCGTTGTCTTGCCAATATTTACGGCCTCACTTTGCCATCGGGCGTTAACCCTTGTAACATGGAGCTCTTATCCCCGTTTGCATCGGTCTCAAAGCGCCTGGCTGTCGTCAAAGTTGCCCCAAGCCAAGGTGGCCATCTGGATGCTGTCCTGCAGACGGGCGAAGTGGCAGCCCTGTGTCTGACGTAACGCGTCAGTTGGATGCTGGAAAGTGGGCTTGATCCCAGGTCTTTCCGACTGGAAGGCCGTGTGGCAAGGACGAAATCCGGCACCAAACTGGCCGCAAACTTGGAAAGGTGGGCTTCATGGACGAAGACTGGGTGCTTAAAACAGCAGGTTTGTGCCAGCAGGTTTGTGCTTAAGCGACGACAGCTGGCTCTACGTGGCATTGCCAACATAGTTCACTGCACCTGTATGCGAAGGAAAAAAAAACTGCAGCCTCAATAACGGCCTAAGCAAACACCACTTGAAAGTTTAAAAGTAAACATATGATCGTGAACACCAGCCTGCTAGAAACAGACCAACTACCCGAAACAAGCAAAATACGTCTCAGCTCTCATCGCAAAAAGCAAACAACTGCTGACAGCTATGAAGCTCGTTTCTTGAGCCAAGGCACCTGTGTGGGAAGATGTGCTTGAGCCTCTGGCACGTCAATCTGCAAATGGTCCCGGCCTGGTCATGCTATTCAAAGAGCGCTGCTCTCAAATGTTGCAAGCGAAACCTAGAGATCTCTACCCCATGCTGGTGCATGTCTGGCCCCAAATGAGCCTTGACATGCGCTGGCCAAAGCTCTTTCCCTCTACTACTGCTAGACTCCCACAGTGTGGGAGACCTATGCAGTCAACTTGGGGTAAATTAAAAGGGTGTTCTAGTTGACCGTCCGGCCTGCCACACGGCCGGATAGGGTCTTTGGAAAAGACCTTGAACTGTTGTCTGACTGAAGCATCCTGAAGTCGGTGCGAAGGAATGGGCAAGCATGCACAATGGAGTCCTGACCGAGCCACTGAAGCCATGGCCATGTCCATCCATCAACACCCAAAACCATTCATCTCAACAATACGCCAACTAAAAACCAACCAACACACTTGAAAAACCTGACACTCCCATCCATCCGCATTTTCTCCCACGCACTTCCCTTTTTGCTTTCACCCCCATCTGCCAAAATGCCACCCTGGTCTTCCCCTCTTTGGCCGGGACCCGGGCTGACGAAGCGGCTGATGGGCAGACTGCCCGCCCCCCCGGGCTTCGGGACATTCAGCGTCACCTGAGCCGCGGCAACCGCGGCACGTGGCCGAGGCGAAGGAAACCGAAACCGCGTGGAAAGGAAAACCGCGGGGAAAGCTGGGCTCATGATCAATGCCATGATCAAAGCCACCCCCGTTCTAAGTGGTGGGTTAAAGTAAGTGGTGGGGGAATACTGGCCTCATGATTTTACCATGATCAAAGTCACCTTCTAAGTGTGCTGTGGGTTAAAGGGAAACATTTTTCTGACTTTGAGAACCCCCAGAAACCGTCACAATGATGACGCCAGGAATAAGCTGGAGACATTGGAGCACGGAACAGGCCCATCCCACTTTCCGTGGTTTTCCGTCAGAGACAGTGTTGCTCAATTTGATCTTTTCCCGGCATACTCTAGCGACTTGAGGCGCCCTTCCACCAACAGTGTGGGCAACGGATCCAGTGCCCGACACTCAGGGTTTAAGGGGCACTCAGCCGGAAACTAGATCACCTGCAGCGTTCTTCAACTATCCACACTTAGTGTCGCAAAGCTAAATGTTTTTATTTCCCACATGAAGGTGCTTTGGGTTGCGACGCGTTGTCGTGGTCGCTTGGCTCCCAATGTTGTGTATTGAAACGTTTGCTTTTGAGTGATTGGGGGGCCTTCCCGCTTCCGGGGCAAGGAGGCCGCAACATGGCTCGCAGCTGAGGCAACGTTCGCAGGTTGTGCCCTTGCACCGCTTCTCTTCTGCCCCGGCCTTGTCTCGGAGCTCTTGCCGTCCCAGCACCAGCCTAGTCAGAGCTCTTGACTTAGGTTTTGGCCATGCTGGCAGGAGGGTGAGGCGGTGAGAACCTCGACAGTCCATGGAAAGAGAGAAACTGCCTGTTGCACAAACCGGAACAGTGTACTCATGTGTTTTGTACTAAAGGCGCGGGAGATGCCTGTCCTCATGGCGGCCTTGAGGTCACCATTCCAGCCTCTCTCCCCTTCAAAGCCCCATGTTGTTCAATTTGTCTCTGCTAGGGAAGCCTAGCCTCAAGCTAGAAGCTGATAGTGCCGGAGTCCTGGTTTTAGCGTGTGAAGCGCATAAGATGTTCTTGTCTGTCCACGGTCCCTCTTTGACTCATCCCCCCACGCGACATCGCACAAGGCCTGACTTGGGCAGCACTGCTCTCACCTTAGCAGGTGCAGGCATTCGCCACCTGCTTGTTTGCACTCAGGATGTCGACAAGGCAACAGCCTAGTTCAAGGGTGTGTCTGCGGGTGTGTGGTGTGGGTGGGTGGGCGGTTGGGTGCGTGCATGCCTGCCTCACTATCTGCCTGCTTGCCGGCGTTTCGTGCGTGCTTGTGTGCGTCCGTGCGTGCGTGCGTGTGTGTGCGCGTCCTGGCGTGTGCGAGTGCTGGCGCGTGCGCGAGCGCGCGCATTTGCGTGTGCGCATGCGCCTCCACGTGTGCGTGTGTGGCGCACGCGCGCACGCATGTGGTTTGTGTGGGTGCGTACGTGCGTGTGTGCTTGCAATTGACGTTTTCTCCAAGTCACATCCACTTTTACGGCAATGCCAAAGCCGAGGCGCTCTTCTCCTCGCTCTCCAGGGAGGCTGTGGAGGCTGCGGTGACGGGCCGCAGGTCCTCGAGATGTTTGGAAGAATCCATTTTGAGGGCTTGAGAGAGGTTGGTTTGGTAGGAAACAAAGGCATACCACCTCTCAAAGATGGGGCCTCTGCCATTTGGAGAACCTGTCTTGTCAGATTCGAACTGCCGAGGTGGGAAAAAGAAACATGCCATATCTTGGTTGCATCAATGTTTGCTGCCCCCCAGCCGTCCCCTGCACGGACAACTCTCCTGGGCAATCCGATAGCAAGCAAATTGCTTCTTGGGAGAAACAAAGCCTTGTGGGAAATTGGCGCCAATTTGCACTTGAGGACCTTCGCATCAGGCCCATGGACATCTTGCGTAACAATGATTGTACCTAAACCCTCTGCCATTGCACTTTCAAGCAGCCTGGATGTTCTCAGCTCGAAACAAATGGCAGGCACTGTAAGTTGGAATGACGTCAAGTGGGCAACACCACACCTCTCCCATCCGCAGCTCGGATTGCGGTCCCGGGTGGTGAGGCACGGCAACTCGGTGTCCGAGGCAAAATGAGCCTCGCTCACTAACTTCAGCTCCAGCAAGGGGCGCTTGTTGACCTGAATGCCGAAATGGCAGTGGCCAAAGCATATATATATATATATTTACATATGTCTATATATGTTGTTCATATATATAAATATATATGTATTGCTCATAACCAGGCGGGTTGATGTCTGGATGTTGAAACCACCGAAATCTGTTCAACCGTCCCATGAGGATTTGCTACATTGTAGTTGGGATGCTTAGCAGGCATCTGCACTGTGATAGTCATTGTTCCCTCAGACGGGCCGTTGAGCCGCGCTTGACCCGTTCCCAATTCACTGTAAATACCATGCAAACTTGCTTTTCTGCTTAAAAAAACACTGCAAAACGCGACAGATCGAGGCAGTGCCGCGCACAGACCGGAAACGCCCACAATTCACCGTAAATACCATGCAAAATTGGTTCCCCGCTCAAAAAGCGCTGCAAAACGCGACAGATCGAGGCAGTACTGTATCCATGCCAGGCGAATGGTAAGAACACCCGTTGAAGTGCACCCGCTCAGCACTGTATCCATGCCAGGCACATGGTAAGAACACCCGTTCAAGTGCACCCGCTCAGCACTGTATCCATGCCTGCCAAATGGTAAGAACCCACGCTCAAGCGCACCCGCTCAGCACTGCATCCATGCCTGCCAAATGGTAAGAACAACCGTTCAAGTGCACCCGCTTAGCACTGTATCCATGCCACGCACATGATAAGAACACCCGTTCAAGTGCACCCGCTCAGCACTGTATCCATGCCAGGCACATGGTAAGAACACCCGTTCAAGTGCACCCGCTCAGCGCTGTATCCATGCCAGGCACTTGGTAAGAAGTTCCTGGCATGGATACAGTGCTGAGCGGGTTTGTTCTTACCATGTGCCTCTGGCATGGATAAGCGCTAAGCGGGTGCACTTGAACGGGTGATGGTAAGAACACCCGTTCAAGAGCACCCGCTCAGCACTGTATCCATGCCAGGCACATGGTAAGAACACCCGTTCAAGTGCACCCGCTCAGCACTGTATCCATGCCAGGCACATGGTAAGAACACTCGTTCAAGTGCACCCGCTTAGCACTGTATCCATGCCAGGCACGTGGTAAGAACACCCGTTCAAGTGCACCCGCTCAGCACTGTATCCATGCCAGGCACATGGTAAGAACACCCGTTGAAGTGCACCCGCTCAGCACTGTATCCATGCCAGGCACATGGTAAGAACACCCGTTCAAGTGCACCCGCTCAGCACTGTATCCATGCCTGCCAAATGGTAAGAACACCCGTTCAAGTGCACCCGCTCAGCACTGTATCCATGCCAGGAACATGGTAAGAACACCCGTTCAAGTACACCCGCTCAGCACTGTATCCATGCCAGGCACATGGTAAAAACACCCGTTCAAGTGCACCCGCTCAGCACTGTATCCATGCCAGGCACATGGTAAGAACACTCGTTCAAGTGCACCCGCTTAGCACTGTATCCATGCCAGGCACATGGTAAGAACACCCGTTCAAGTGCACCCGCTTAGCACTGTATACGTTCAAGCGCACCCGCTCACCACTGTATCCATGCCAGGCACTATAGACCATTTGGATTTTATATGGCTTTATATATATATATAGTTGGTAAAGTTTTGGCATATATATATATAAAGGCTATTTGGATTTTAGATGACTTTATTTATATAGAGTTGCTAAAGTTTGAGGGTATATATCTGTGTATGGACTATTTGGATTTTATATGACATTATTAAAGTTTGAGGGTGTATATATATATATATATATAGACTGTTTGGATTTTACATGGTTTTTTTTACATATGTAGTTGGTCTTCTCTGCTTTGGAACTGTGTTTTTCTTGCAACATGCAAAGTGTGTTCGTGTGGAACTGTAGTGTTTGGGACGCCGTTTTTGCGTAAAATAGCGTCCTGAGAAATCTCCTGCTTTGGATTCAGCGATGTTAGAATGCATTGGTTTTTGCAGTGCAAAAGCTCCTTGTCAAGCGGCGGGGCGTTGGTGTTCGCGGCCAGACGACCGGTCGGACCGATTGTAGTTGGGATGCTTAGCAGGCATCTGCGCTGTGATAGTCACACCCGACGATATGGGTCAATGTGTCTTGAAATTCTGGCTGACCATGACACATCAACCACTATCGCATTGCCTGAGTTTGGTCTCCCACAAGCCGCGTGTCATTCACAACCCCATTGCCACCTCCAACCTTCTGAATTCTGACTCCCTTTCCGAAATCCCAAGTCAACATCACAGGGCGAATCAAGATGCCAGGCTTCAGTGCTGTTAATCCTGCCCTTGGGATTCTTCTGCTTTGAGCGCCAGGGATCTGCACAACTGACCCTGAACACATCAAAGCATATACGTACTGCTTTCGGGCAGGCCAATGAGAGCGGAACACTCTGGTTCTCGGATCTTGTCAGAAAATGAACGCCTAAATTGAATCTGTTTTTTTTGAATCTGTTTTTTCCTTCCGGAGAAACGATGGGTTTCCCTGGTAAATGGTTAATAAAACCTATCCAAACCAGTGGAACCCATCTGGATTTCAGCTAAAAAGGACCCCTATGGGTGTGGCTCAAAATTAAAGAGCTAGGGTTACGCAGGTGTTAGTCCTTGGTTCAATGTACCAAGTGTCATTTGGGTACCAATTTTCGAGCCACCGCCATTTTGCTCAGCAACGCGTCGGCATCTGTTTTGAAACATTGGTGGCGTTTCAACCATGGCAACTCTGGAAGGCCCGGAAGTTCCGAAACCAAGCACTAAGTACTGAAGCCGATGGGACGCAATGAAAGCACAAAACCCCCCTGCCTCCTCGCTCGACTGCGGTGCAGCCAGTGGCTCTGGGCTGGTGCCTGGCAGGACCGGTACTCGGCGACAGGACCGGGCGATGGATTGACTCCTTCACCGGCCACCCTGAGAAATGTGGGTTAGCAGGGAAGATACTGTGGATGCACGGAATCCGGCATTTTGATGTATGTCTTTTTAAGGCATTTTGAGGTTTGAGGGGTTTTGATGGTTTTAATGTCAACCACATATTGAACCAACCAATTGATTAATAGGGTGTCCTTGGGTTTAGTGGGCACTTTTGGAGGGGAACACCCTCCTATTCATAAACTGGGGTTGATGGATATTGGGTCAACATTAGCAAGGGAGACATGGGTCTGTCTTTTTGTTTGGTGGTACGCCTTTTTTGTTGCTGGTGGGTGAAAAAAAACTAAGGGAAAACAAACGATTTTTGGGGGTCCCCTATCTTAAGACTCCCCGGACACTGCGACTGCAGTTTCTGCGAAGTGAAGTTCATAAACCGACTTGTCAACATCTTGAGCAAATCCCACCATGCGACGCCCGCTGTCCAACGTTACTGGAGTTATTCGCCGAAGAAAGAGCAGCTCGAGCGCATGTAGCTTCATAATTACCAAGCAGTGAGCAGCCTAAAGTCACGTCCCAGCTTCATAACTATAGAGACTATAATCTGACTATCATACTTTTCTTCCATGCGGCACAAAGCATGCAAACACGCGCACGACACATGCACGCACCCACCCCCACCCAAACACCCACACACACACACACTCACACACACACACCACAACCACCCAGCAACACCCAGTCACCCATCCACTCCGACGCACCGACCCACCCAACAACCCACCCACCCACCCACCCACCCACCCACCCACCCACCCACCCACCCACCCACCCACCCACCCATCCAACCACCCACCCACCCACCCGCCTACTCACCGGCCCACCGACCCCCTGACCCACCGACCCATCCAACCCACCCACGTACTCGTGCGACGGCCATGTCCATCGCCAGTCCCACCATAGCCCTGCTTAAAGTGAACAACTCGCTCGATAACTTCACAGCGTTATGTTGGACTCTGCGCTCCGTGGAAGCTTCAAAAGGATCTGATTGAAAAGGTGATCACATGAGTCATAATCAAGTTGTCCACCCAGAACCAAAGAATTGAGAATGCGGCGAAGGCACCCTTCGTGGCTGGGATTGTCGCTTGCCCGTGGCTCAGATTGTGCTTACCCTCCAATTACCTGGCTTTTGCTTGCGACTCACACGTGGATCACCACAAATACGCTGCGGTTCAAGTGGTCGTTCATGCAATTGCGCGACGTATGGCACAACTCGCCGAATGTGTATATGTGTAAATATATATATATATGTGTATAAATATATATATATACAATATGCATATGTCGGGAGGGGCAGAAACCGGCCGGGGCACCGCTTCGACAAAACCCGCATGCTCCGGGCGCCGCTTCGCCTGAGTTGCCAGTGCCGGCCGCATCACCGTCGCCCAGCTGAACAGTGCGGCAGCGCTGCACCTGAGCACATGCGAAGCAGGTGAAAAGCGCAACTTGCATCAGGCTCGGTAGCATGATGGCATTCTGAATCATGAACTCTTAAATGATATGAGGTATCATAAATAACTGAATCAGCCACATCCAGAAGTATGTGCAGCGTTTGGAGAAATTGGAAAAATTGCAACTACTACAAAGGTCCTCCAGATTTGAGAGGATAGAATAATAAGGGTACCGATTCTTGTTTCTGTAGTCCATTTTACTTGGGGAGCCCTCCCCCAAAAAAGGGGAGAGAAGGGCACTACTGGGGGACCTAGACTACACTTCACTTGGAACTTTGACAAGTACAATGACATATTCAACAAAGCGAAGACTCGGTGCCTGCCTGCGGCCTCTCCAGCATGGTCTCGGCTTGACGCTTGGATCCTGGCACGTTCGATGGCTTGGGTCGAAAGCCGACGAGACGAAGGCGAACATCTTGATGGTTGGGAAGTCCAGAAATCGCACCACCGTTCAGAAACCCAACGGCATGAGTCGATTCCACTCCGTAAATACCAACGGAGTGGCTTCAACTACGGCTTCAAAGTAGTGCGAGATGGAGTTTGTCCATCCAAAGCACGTCTCGCAACTATATGGGTGTACAGGGTAGCTCCCCGGCTAGGCCAGCTTTGGAATGCACAGCTCGCAGTCCAACACCTCGATCTTCATACGTGACAGTCACAAACGGCGCTGGAAGATCAAATCTCATGCTACTGCCATGATAAGTGTTGCACCTATTCTGCTCGCAGCTCTACCTGGTACGGTTTTTTGCAGGTCACTTGTGTTGCTTTTCAATGGCCAGGGGCATTGCACACGGCTCAAAGGGATCCTGTTTGTCAAATCCACGCCCACTTTTAGTGTTCAAAGCACAATCGACCCAACAGGGGGAGCATGTTTGCCCTATGGAAAACACCAGAGGCTCTGCACATTTCATGGCCAAAAAGCACGCCCCAACTCCAGGACCAAACAGCGAAGGCGTTTCTCTGCACGTCAGATCAAGGCCTCTGATCGACAGCGCGGAGATGGCCAGCCTTAGCCAACACATCATCGGATTCTGCTCTGTCGATCGGTCGGGTCGTCTCAGTTGTGCAAAGGATAACGAGATACACGCCCTCAGACTAACACCCGGAAGCTCCACCACTTGGCCTCTGTAAATGGAACCAAGTCTTCCATTTGGGGGTCCGTTCGGGAGCTTCCGGCTGTTAAAAGACTAAACTTTATCCAACAACCATGGAAGTGGACCAAAAACAATCCCCAAAAGGAAAGGAGTCTTCCAGAACTCTCCGATCAGCATCCATTGTTGGAGGGTGGGCAAATCACCTGGACAAAGCTGGTCGATTTTCCGTTTTGGGCCACTGAGTTCACGTTCCATCCATCCCCAAAACCTGGCGCCTTCTGCGTCCCAAGGGGCTGCAGCTGTGGCAGCAGCCGAGAGATGTCCGAGTTCGCCTGGCCACGGATCGGCCAGAGAAGCGCCATCCGCCAAAGGCACGCCTCGTCTCCTTTTTTGTAAGAGCCCGTTCTTCTGCCGTCTAGAAAACGGCGTGGATTTGCGAGTGTTTTGCAGATTCAACATGTTTTTTCTCCCTGGGCATTTATCCATCAGTCGCAACAAAAACCCTAATTTTGCCGAGGCGGGGACCCCTCCCAATTTTACCGAGATTAAAAAAAAAAAAAAAAAAAAACGCAATAACAAGGCAACTGCCTTTCTGGTAAGTTATAATCTAATTTGGAGTAGTTGTGGCTATTGTGGAGAATCTGGGATGGAGATACCATGTTCACCAAATCCAAGAGTCACAGCAGGAGCCGAACCCTCCTTTTACCGCCACTAATACGAACCAAGAACGCAAACTGCAATTGCATTTCTGCTGTACATGGCTCCGTTTCCTCCAAGTTGCGTGACACCATGGACTTCCTGCACCGGAGCAGCTGGCACATGCGCTTTCATTGAGATGCTGGACACGGAGCCTTTTGGGGCTCCATACACCTCTTGTTCTTGCTGGCCTGGGAAAGGGGCCAAAACTGGATTCATCATCTGACCGCCTCTGCAACCACTGCAGCTACGAAAACTTGGGTTCACCCCATCAAAGAAAGAACCTCTGCAGAGGAACCACTGCTGGCTTGTATGACTTGTGTGCAACTCAAAGCAACCATCTGGAGAAAATGTCTAAGGCAAACATGTGGTCATGGGTCAAAAGACCATACCCCCAGTCAGTAAACATCCCAATCCCCACTAAAATAGGTTCTAAAATGGGTGGTGAATTCACCCACCCGAATCCCAAAACGGTTTTGGCCCACAGCCATGTCAAATAAGGCACAGCCAACTTTGGGCCTCTAAGCCTTGGGCCCACCTTCGGCCTCTCTAGGCCTAGGCCTAGGCCCACTGTCGGCCTCCAGCAAGTGCTGGGAAGGCGCATGTCACTTTGGGGGTGCTCATTCATCCCGCCTGCCGGATGTTTCCCAGCTCGTCCTGTCGGATTGCATTCAGGCCCCGGAATACGAGTTGACGTCATGAGCCATGGCAAGCCGCGTCAGGCGGAGTCAACCTGTTGGATCCGTAATGAAAAGAGCACCACTAAATCAAGCCGCTGCTAGGCATGGGTCATCCAATGGCTGACATCCAGAGCCGGACAATGGTGACATAGTAATATGCCAACTCCGGCACTCCATGTTTGCGGTCTTCGTGCCTAAAAAGCATCCAACCCACTTCAATGACCACTGTACGCAGCAATTGATGACTGGGTCTCCAAAGATTTAAACGAAAAACAAAACAAAAAAGAGCCCAAAAAATCCGGAGAAAAAAAACGGAAAAAAAAAGAGATCCGTAGAGCCGCTTGAAACCAACCAGCAAGCTGCGCACCGCCGGGGCCGGCGGGCAGCCCCCTCCTCCGGCAAGCGCAGGATGCCCGAGGCCCGCCCGATCTTGCTGCTGATGGCCTGGCCCCAGTTGGCAGTGGTGGTCAAAAATAGGGAAAGCCCAAAATGGACAGCGGAGTCAGAATTCCAGGGTTTCTGAGGTGGTGCAGGATGTCGTCCATCCACAGTAGGCTTACCTATGGCTGTGGTTGTCAAAAATAGTTGGTAACCCCAAATGGCTTGCCCTGGTAAGAGGAAACATGGACAAAAATCTGCGCTCCAATTCCTGGTTTAATTTTGACCACCCATTTGAGTCACAAATCAAGCCCAGTATTCAAATGACCTCGGGTCCCAGAAGTGCTGAAAACCAGGTGCCTGGCTCTAAGCAAAGGCCTCCGAGCTTGTACGCAGAGTCATGCTCAAACCCGATGGGTATCAAAATGGTCGATGACACGAGGCAGCTCCACTTGGAGAAAATCGCTTCGAGGCCCCAGACGCACCCGGTACTGCTTTGGCCAAGATGTTTTTTTCACATCTGGAAGAAGCAAGCACTAGTCAATAGGCCGACTGGTGTTAAATGAGTGCCGTTTGCAAAAAAAAAGAGTTCGCTGCGATGCCTAGTGGCCCAATCTCAAAGCGTAGGGCCTTAGGGGTGTTCTGATTTCCCGGCAAAATGTCCGCCGGCTATGAATGCGGTGTTGGTCCAGTCGCGCGGAGGCCTCACATTCAAACAAGCCTTCCATTAGACAGGCATTCAGGAACCCTGCCATACGGTTGTGGCTGTCAAAAATAGGATAACCCCAAAATGGCTTGCCAAATCGGTCAATCAATGGAACCAGGGACCAAAACCTGCATAACCTGGGTGGTGACGAGTTTTGACCCATAGCCACATTGCTTCAGTGAGATTTCTGTGAGGCTTTCTCTCTCAAACCTGGCTGACAGCCCAGCCGCTCGCTCCGAGCCTCGAGACCCTCCTGGAGTGTCCTGGAAGGCTCGGAGCGACACGAGGCAGCGAGGCCCAAAGGCATCAAACTCTCCATGGGACTTCGCAAATGAAGGCACTTCAGTCTTCCTCAAAACCCGGCTTATTAAATTGGTCGATCCCCAGAACCAGGTAAAGAATTAAGAAGGCGGATATCCGCAGCTATGTATGGCTGGGATCGTCCCTGACTAACCTTCACCTACCCGGGTTTTGATTGTGGATCACTTGGCCATACAAAAGATCCCCACGACCACCTCAGAATCACATGAGCCAAGAGCCGCCTCTGCCAATGTGAAAGTACAACTCCATGATCCGCAGAAGAGCTACAGGCGGTAAGCAATAGGCAATGCAAGCACTTTGCTCGGACATGCGAGCTGCAAAACCAAACAGACCTACACAAACCAAAGATCGACTGAAGGCAAACGAACGCTCCCATCTTACTGCCCACGCTACTTCAGTGCCATCCAAGCAGCATCTTCTGAGTCGGATATTGAGGGATTCCAGAAAAGTAGGCTGCTCCAGCTCAAACGGATTGACGTCTACCGCCGGAAGCACTTCACGTATGGTATCTTTGCAAGGTACGATTGGGTCTGCAGAAGGGACGCCAATCAGCCTACAGTCAACCCAAAAACATCAACGCGAACGGCCTGCAAGATCTGGCAAAATGCAAGCAAGCCTGGCCCTTGGGTCAAACATGTCAAACATTTGAGTACTTACCCTTTCATGTGACAACCAAAAAAAATCAAACATGATGAAGGTGTCGGCTCTTCTAGTCACGGAGGTCCATGGCCGTACTGCCAGGCCGATTGGCCTGGAATTCACATCACCCAGCTGTCCTAGAGCCCTGCTTCATGCTGTTGCTGAAGAGGGCGCGAAATCCATTGCTCTGTTTCTCCTGGCTCGCAGTGGCTTCCCACATCTGAAGGAGAACGACGCAGCCGGCGCAGGCAGGGAGCAATGAGGGCCTTGTTTGTTTGCTCGAGCGTATCCTGCAGAAGTTGGGAACATGCAGGACCACAAAGCAGCGTCATGCACCGACAGAATTATCAGAATGATCCGAGGTAGCAGAACGCCACGCAAATTGCCCCCTCGACAAAGATGCTACGAGGAACGCCTTGTTGAGCTCTGTTTATGTTCGTTTCAAATTATAATTGACATTTCGAGAGCGGCCGTTGGTGGAGATATTAGAATTTAGTACGAGAGACGCAACTCTATGCTTTACAGCGTCTTCTGACCATGGTCTCAAAGTGGCTGAGTTCCGCCATGTGAACAAACATTGCAAAATATGCCGAATATTAGCACGACTGCTACGCTGTGGCCTGTGGGCTGTGGTTCCTCGAGTTTGCAACATGAGTCTCCCGCATGTGAAGATTCTACATATCGTCCTGCACAATCTTCTGATCTTCCAGCATCGGCGCCTGATACTTCTCCAGCACCTACGCTGCACGGGCGAGTTGACTTCAAAAACATGTTACTTCGAAGAAAACAGGCATGCAATATGGTTGCTTGCCATGCTGAAGGTGCTGATGCACGTAAAAGGTTCTAGTTGGGGAAGAGACGTCCTGATATCCTACTGCATGCCACGGACTCCTCGCTTACACCAAATGCTTCACATTCAAAGCAATATAACACACCCGAACTGGAAGCAAAAGCAGCTTTTCAAATACAACACCCACAAGGAAATCAGTCACTGGCCGCTGCAAAGTGCGAATGGGTTTGAGTACAGAAAGGGTGGGGGTTGATCCAAAGGTCCTTTACATGGGATGACCACGGGGAACACCACCAAAAAGATGATACGCACTAAATACTAAACTGAAAAAGCTACCCATGGTCATTTGGGGGACCTAAATGGAATAGTCATCAACCCCCACGTCTCGCTTGCCCTGACTGCAAGGTAGGAGCTGTGCACCTGCTTGGCAGACTTCAGCACGATCGCCAGCTGCGGGAAAACCTTCCGGTCCGGCTGCAAGGGATGGAGGGGATGGAGCATCGGTTGGCTTGGATGGCCATGGCAGGTGGCAGCAGATTGCAACTTGACTGGCCACTTACATAGCAAAAGCTATTGGGGTGGAGCCCCTCTGTTTTCCTGTTCCCCCCAACGGAAATAAACAGAACCCCTCTATCGCAGGTGGCTTCTGAGGCAGGCCTTACACCCCGAAACACGAGAGCAACAGGAGCGGTGGGGAGCAAAGAAAGGCAGAACATGAAGCAAAAACCCGGAGACAGAGTGAGTCTACAAATCTGAAAAAAACCCAAGTTAAATGGCAAACATCGTTGTTTGGTTGCATGGCAAGCAAGGCTTAGACGAACGTAAAGAAAATGGCACGCACACACGCACACACACAAACAAACTGTAAGCTGGAGTGTGCTGGCTAGCAAAGCCGTATGTGATTGACTTGTTCAGCTGCCGAGACGGGAAATTGAGTTTGTCCCAAAATAGGCGACTCTTAAAACTGGTGGTTTTCCTGTTGTTTCTTCCCTTTAAACCCGCACCCAAAACGGGTAGCGTCAAAAGAGAAACACCGAAATCTCAAATTGAAAAGTGGGCAGCGTCTTCAACACTTTATGGACGAATCATAGGACAATAGGATGTCTACACTGGGCCTACACAATTTAAGGTGATAAAACAAGCCACCTAATAGCAAGAACGCCTGCCTTACGCACGCCTCACCTTACGCACAAGCCACAAGCATCAAATCCCGCCCCTATTGTCTCCAGCCTGGTTCGAGGTAAAGACATATTGCCGGTCCTGCTGAGACAGTGATCTGCAGGTGACCATTCTCTGGGAGCTGCAGAGTCAGCAAACTTGACAGGACACTATAAAACATGAGACGACAGGGCGGCAAACAGGGCCTCTAACACACACACACACACACGACATGATGCTCTAGAAAGCATTTCAGAAAAATATAGCATGCAAGCATAGGCGGATCAACTCAAGCCCAGACGTGCTGCCATTCTCCCCAAGGCAAATGACAGCTTCCAGTCAGTGATCAGCTACCCTTCAGACAAAGCCTCACATAAGTCTCACCAAACACAAGGCACCACCAGGTTTTGGACCGCAGGTTTTAGTCCCTGATACATTTGCAGATCAAGCCATTTTGGGGTTGACCCATGTTTGACAACCACAGCCACGTTGCCAGGTTCCCGTAGACCGTAGACGACTCATTCACGGACGCTCCTCCTCTGGCAAGTTGTCGGAGAAGGTTCGGATGGACTGCGTCACGCTGGTCACAGACCAGCCCAACATCGACCTCGGGTCCCAGAAGTGCCGCTGAAAACCCGGTGCCCAGCTCCAAGCAAAGGCCTCCGAGCTGCATTTAAGCAGAGTGATCAAAACCGATCGGTATCAAAATGGTCGATCCCCAGAACCATGCTTCAGGAAATATTAAGGGGGAAAAAGCCAGAGGAAATCAGGAGTGAGAAAGGCGGCGACGGCACCCATCTATGGCTGGGAGTATCCCTTCCCAACTTTTGTGTCCCCGAGGAGCAGCTGTGCAATCTATGTCCCGAGGACTTTGGCGACGCTGAGGCGTGCCACGCGTGTCTTTCCACCCAAGCATGAACGCGTGCTTTCATGGGCAGTCATACTTTCTGGGCAAAGGTATTGGGATGTGTTCCTTACCGTCAGTGAGGGAGCAAGTCACACCAGTCTCCTCCCCAATCAAACAATGTGCCATTTTATAAACATGGTTCTCCAGCCACCCGTCCACAATGTGCCATTTTATAAACATGGTTCTCCAGCCACCCGTCCAACCCATCCTTCCTTGCCGCGCTTTCCGAAAGAACGCCCGGTCGCCTCCAGCTGGCCCTCTGTTATTTGAGTGAAACGTGGCGAAGAGACTCACCCCCCTGTGCTGAGCTACCAGGTGCTTACGGGACTCCTGGTAGTCTAGTGCTACTTTCCCCATTCTTTCCAGGGATCCTTCTTTCTAGAAAACCTCCGGAAACCCAGGAAAACAGCCGGTTTTCGAAAAGAACGATGGTTGGAAAGGATGGGAATCAACCCTTAGAGGTAGCTCCTTAGCTCCCTCTATAAAGCAAGTTTTGATACCCCCATCTCCTTAACAGCTCCCTTCCAACCACCAGCTGGTGAGATTTTGTACTGCCAGCCTGGCGACAGAAGCGACCAAGCCTGTTACCAAGGGGAGCTCATGGAGGGTGAGTCACGGGGATCAGATCTGAGTAGGAAAATGCCTTCATTGGAGGCTGGCATGGAACATCAATGGGCAACGATTCCAGCAGCTTTCTACCTGCGCATCGGGCAAACTTCGGATGGGGATATTTGTGGATACCTCTTCCCCCAAACCTGCCCTGCAGACCAACACAGGCGTGCCTATGCGAAACCAAAATGCCAAGTGCCCGGCAGCTCGTTGTCCTTCTCCTCGCTCCGAGCAAGCACCTCTCCAATCCATGTGGCTGCCTCGAATAGCCCGAGCCTCAGCCGGGACAGGACAGGTTTTGCTTGGGCCTCAGACAATGTGTTACACTTGTGCAGAGTAGAGCTATTGGGTGCGAACGCTCATGACTGTGCCTTGGGGCTGGTCGGTTGTAGGCTCAGCACGGTAACTGGCATGGTCTCAGCTATTAGCACTGATCAGTTCGAGGTTTCGCCTTCAAGACTTGGTGAACTATCGCTGCTTGGCGTGCGTGCCCGCTTGGCCGGACACGCCGCTTGAAGTATCAAGCTTGAGTCAAAACCAAAACGTGCTCGGCCCTTTCCAGCGACCTCAATCAGCGCCAACAGCCGTCCCTGTGCCCCCTGCCCTTTGCTGAGGCTTGCTTCGCTGGCGCGGTACTTTCTCAGGCTCCTGTAGGTTCCCAAACATGGCTCCAGACTCATCCGAGTGCCCCAGCAAGGTTTCCATCTGGCCATGCGCGGGATCGGACCGGACGGAGAAACGGAGATCGAAATCACATCGGTCCTGTTGGCCTGGATGCTGGCGCGTCTGAGTTGGAGTTGGCTGGTTCAAAACACCGACGTGCCGAACTCCAATCACTCAAGGACAAAACAACTGGCCTGGCCAAAGGGCCGAACTATTTGGCTGCCCGCTGAATTCCAAAGGCAACATGGCCCCATGGGCCCCTTGACTGCAGAACTTTGGGGAGCTGTCTGCGGGTGGCTTGAGCCCAGCTTCAAGCACGGAAAGCTTGTAACATAGATGGCGGCGATTTGCACTCCCTCGGACTAACAGCCGGAAGCTCCCTGGCTTCCGCAAATGGAGCCAAGTCTTCCAAAGGGGGTTCTGGGAGCTTCCATGTTAGTCTGAGGGAGTGTATTCACGCAACGTCTCAAGTGTCTCCACAGAAAAACAAGCCGTTATAACGCGCTGGTTTCTTGGTGTAGCAATCCGGCAAAGGTACGTAGCCCTATTTGTGCCTGACTGCCTTTCGCCCCAGCAAACGGCCGGCAAAGTTGCAAGGCTCGGAACCTTTTTTGCCATCTCACACGGTCAAGAGCTCGTTTTCCTGGCAGTCAGGCAAGAATGTGCCCCAACATGTTCTGCTATCAACCTCCATGCCATTGCATGAAAAAGCAAGAAAAAACCTACGGTGGGAAGATCGCACATGATTTTTCTCACCCGCCTGCAGCAGCTTGCGGATAAAAGCTGCCTGGCAGGCCAAGTATGCATGGGTGGGGCTCAAAATTAGAAAGCTAGGGTTACGCAGGCTTTAGTTTTTGGTTTCATTTACCTAGTTGGTACATGTTCTACAGCCACATGGGAATCTCGACTTGCAACGTTGGGCTCTCTGAGCATTGATTAGAATTGGTCAATGGAGCAGGTGGAAACATCGCAGGCCGGCTGCTCTTGTTGGGCACAGGAGAAGCCTTGAGATCATCCTCTCAATCAGAAACTGTGTTCCGTGTTGGCTCAAAGCCTTTTTCCAGCATGGTCATTCCAAACATCTCAGGGGCTTTGCCACAAGGAGTCATGGGCAGCCTGTGGAGTCACAAGCTTTGCGCTGATGAACTGAAAAAAATATGGTGTAGCCTGTGGCAGGCCTAAACACGCCTCTCAATCGTCTCAAAACCTCTGCGAGCCATTTGTGCGCCGACCTGCGCCCCCCCCCCCATGTCCCATGTCTACTGCCAGTCCAACCATCCAAAAGCTACCCAGCTGCTGCTCTCGATGGCTAGCAGGGAAGGTGAAAGCAGGGCAAGCCATGCGAGAAGTTGAGAACATGCGAAGACTCACGACCACGCGCAAGGCGGGGGATCTCAAACCCTGCCAAAGTGCGAAGGTTTCGTAACGACGGGGTGAATCAGTGAAGCACCGCAAATAGATCACCTGGATCCCTCGGTTTTGCAGCTTCTGGGGAGCAACCTACACCGATCGCAGCGGATCTTCGCGCACCTTGGCCTCATAGCCCGGCAAAGACTTCCACTGCCCGGCTTGCACCTGACGAACATGGCTCGAAGGGACGCTTCAAATGGCCAGTCGCTTGGGACTTATCGCCTTTGCACCAAAAGCACCAACAGCTCTGTGTGTGTGCTCCTCTTGTTTTCACCTTGGGCCCCTGATTTCCATCTTGTGCCCATCCAGTCAGCCTGAGTCAAATAGATTGGCACCTGTGCGTGCGTGTGTGCACATGCCGCTTCGCGGAAAAGCCTTCTTTCATCAACCTGAATCTGGCATATCCTTCTGACAAGCACTTCCCCGTATTGCAAAGTACTAAAAATACAATCGTCCCTTTGGACTGCGTGTCCGAACAATCCAGACAATGCGTCCAAAGGAACCTTCCACCCCACCCCACCCCAACCTCTTGCCTCAGTCATGCCATATTCGCTGTTTGCATCTTTGAAGCAGCTGTGTTTTGCCTCGCATATGTGTTCTAACCTGCGCAGTCATCCAAACATGCTGAGTTGCTATTTCCCTGACTGTCGCAATATGTTCTGTGAACCACTGCTCGAGCAACCTCAACGCACCCATTGCCAAAGAAGTTTTACCTTTGACGTCACCCCTGCTGTGAGATTCCATGTTGGTGACTTCATAGCAGTCTGCCATTGCTGCTTTGCATTGATTTGGTTGTGTCTCTGGAAATGAAACAACTTGGTGCAAGGTTCTTCACCTTCACCTCTCCTCAGATCCCCGGCTGAAAGTCACTCACTTTCAGTGGGCGAAACGAAAAGCCCGACCACTAAACTAGCCAAAAAACTGAAACCTAAGGAACCGGATGGCTGAAAAGTGCCAAGTTCCTTGAAGGGTCTCCAATTTTTGCCCGCCGACCCATTGGCCTCGATGCTGCGCCAGCCCACCGCCTGCCATGGTTCGGCCAAGTTGGTAAGTGGTTGGCCAAATGGGGCACTTAACCCACGAATGACTGGGTTAACCGGTCACTTAAGGAGGTTTACGAGTGGGTTATAACCTAGGTTACCAACAACCTACTAACTTGTCCGAATACCCAAAAGGCCCTTTCGTGAAACTTGGTTGTTTCGTGAAACGTAGTTGCTTGATCTGGCTTGCTTGTGCTCAGGTGTGAGTGATGCTTGGACTGGGGTTGGTTCTGCAGGGTCTTTTTTTCTCAAAGGGATAGGAGAAAAGAATGAAGCGGCCAGCAGCCGCAATGAAGCGGCCAGCGGCCGCAAAGCCAAAGCCGAAGCCGGCCATGAAGATAACCTCGGATGGCGGGGGCAGGACTGTTTTGGGTTTTCCTGTTGCGCCTAATGTTGTTTTGCGCACTCAATCGCTGCTGATGTTTCAGCAGGGTGTGGCCCAAGCAAATCAGGGTGGTGCAGCAAGGCTGCGTGAGTCAACAGCCCGCGTTGTTGGATCCGCATTTGACGATTGACGGCATACAGCAATTGGAAACTTCAATGTTCAGAATCCGGTGTTTGACGTTTTGTTTGTGGGAAAGCCATGGATCTCTTTCTGGAGTCTGACGACGATACGCCAATAGTGCTCCAGCCTCCTGCTTCTGCAAGGGGCTCCCAACTTGGGGGCAAAAGAAAAAGAACAACAGATGGGAGAACGGTGGAGCTTGAAACCCTCCTCACACGGCGATGCCGCTGCACCGCGTCTAAGTGCTTCACCCAGTTCAAGGGCATGGAAAAAGCAGTTCTTCTAGCAAGAGCCAAGTTCCAAGAGTTGGACGCCCATGATAAGGCTCGGCCCCCCAAAAAATCAATCAGTTTCAATCCAGTCTGTCTGTAGGGAAGTTTGAAGATGATCATTTGACTTTTTTCCCCGGTGGCTAGTTTTGTGTTTTTTGCAAGGGACCACTGACATTAACGTGGGGAAGGGTGGAGGGCTTTATGCAACTGGTCAAACCCCAAAACTCTGCAGGAGGCTTGCGTTTCTGGCTTTTACAACGTTGACCTGAAGCGTTTGGATATCGAGGACCAAGTGACAACCGAGGTTGACCCTGAAAACGTCCTTTTCTTGGAAAGCGAGTCCGATTGCGAACGTTTTTTACCGGAGTCTGACAATGACGACGAAGACCCCAACATGTTGCTTGAAACTGGCTCCTCCTCTGCCGAAGAAAGCCCGAAAGGCCAGCCCAAAAGATCCTACGCTGAGAACCGGTCCAAAGCATGCACTTTCCTTGACAAAGCAGTATGCAAGTATGCGCACCAAAGATTGCTTGGTGTGGGCTCTGGGACCTTGCAAAAGATGAGACAAGGGCAAGCAGCGTTTACAAATACTCGGCGTGCTTCCTTTCCAAAGCACCCAACCCTTGGGGTGTCCTTGCGGGAGTCTGTCCGGACAAAGTGGCCTTACGTGATGCTATTTCTCTGGCTGGTCTATCATTCAGCGGCAGAAATTCTGCCGACCAAGTTCAAGATGCCTAATGGTTATGCCACAGAATGCGAACCCTCCGAGGATGGTGACTTTCAGTTGCGGTATGTCACCAACTTCTTGCAAAGCTTGGATGCTCACTACAAGGTGCCGGACCTTCACTCCCTGGGGCCAGGATCATTTCAGGGCCCCCGCCGTTTTTTACAGCACCGCAAACCCATTGATTTGTTCTATGAGTATGTGGCGTTTGAGTCGCAACAAGAAAGGACGCCGGCAGGCTTGGCATCTTTTATGAGGATCTTCCACAAAGTGTTCAGGACCCATTTATGTTTTCGCGCCAAGGGCGAACATGCTGAGTGCAATGTCTGCAGCAAGCTGAAGCGGCAAATCAGCCGCGCCACAACGGAAGAGCTGCGCAAAAAAGCGCACCGGGCATATTCAGAACACATACTGTCCCAATGGATAGACCGACAAACTTACTGGTCCATACGAACTCTATCGCAAGCCTGGTTCCGCTCCTTGGCTCAACTTCATCTTGACGTGCCTAGCCATGTTGACTCTAGTTACTCTCTAGTTAAGGCGATGCGCACACACATGCCAACAAGCATCTTGGCGTGAGTTGGGCAAACGGTTTATTGTTCTTGGGGTTTGCGACGGTCCATGGAAAACAACACAAACCTTTTACTGATGCTCAATCTCGATTTGAAGCTGTTAGGCTTCTATCCAGCCAGCTAGCCACGTCCGTCTTATGCCTAATCACGGACGGAATGGATCAGGCGAAGTTTAAATGCCCACGGGTGGTGGGGCGGCGGTCGAAACACCTAGATTCACTTTACCGGCCAACGCTACATTGCACAGGCGTTTGGTGCCACGGGGTCAGACTTTTCCTGTGGCTTGCAAATGAAGACGTGAAGAAAGACTCAGTCACACAGTGCGAGTTAATTTTCCGATCCCTCAGCATTATCCTTCAGACGCATTCTCAACTACCCCTTGGCTGCCACCTTCAAGCAGATAACTGCTTCCGAGAAAACAAAAACCAGTACGTTGGTGCGGCCATGATGTTACTGGTAATTCTACAAGTTTTCCGGTGGACAAGCATCGGCTTCTTGAGAACAGGCCATAGCTGCTTGGGCGAAACAAGCTAAGTAATGTTTGATTTGTTTGTCACTGGCCATCTTCCCTTTGAACTTTAGTTGAACATGTCACAACCTGAGCCTTCGACTGTTACTAGCTACAACTCCCAGGCCATGAGGACATAGACCAGTGCTTCGGACAATTGGCTTCGCTGCTCGCTTCCAACATCTTTGATTCAACCCAGGGCGTGGTGGATTTGCTCAACGAAAAACTTGGAAGCCCCAGTGATGGCTCTGGCTCTAGCTCGGGGAAGCGGTGCAGGAACCTACGAAACCAACAAGTTCTGGCTTGCAACTTCGGGCAGACTGCCTGTTGGAAAGACTGGGTAAGCCAGGTGGGGGTCAAGTTGAAAGGATTGCGCAGTTCGGCTGAACATAGCAAGCTCCAGTCACAAGTCGTTTTAGTTTCCTGGTCTGAGCATTTTCTCATCCAAGTTTGTCTTTGGATTTCGCAAACGCAGAAGACCTGATTGAAAGTGGGACTCGGACAAAGGGGCGTTTAAATTTCGAATGTTTTCGCCAACACAAGGCCACGTTCACTATTTGCGCTTCTGTTTCCGAGAAGACTTGGAGAGTGGCATCATCGACAAATGCGAAACCTTCACTGACTTGCCTAAAAGGTTTCCACCTTCTGCGGGCGACCTGGTTCTGTACACCAAGCGATGGCTCGGCGACCAATCCATTGCTGCCCTGCACGTTGTTGTTCCCCAGGAACACGTTCAGCAAATCCGCGAGGGGCACTCTGACCCAGCCGGTGTTGCAGCCCTGAGGCCGATCGGCGACAAAGTCGCCAAAAACATCAATCGCTATGGCCCCGTTTGTGTTCGCCAGGGTGACATTACCCAGGGCGCCTTTGATTATTTGTCTCACTGGGTAAGTGGCTCATTGCCCGTAGTGCCCAGACCAAAGCGGTATGACATACTTTCACACCGCTGGTGCGCGAACAAAGCCACCAGAAAGCCACACACATGGAGCCCGCCTGGGCGTGTGAAGGTCGTTGATGTCAGCCTTGGTCGCGATGATGATGTCGATAGTGGCACTGAGAGCGAAGGTGCTGTGGATATGGAGCAGTAAAATGCCCCGCCCTGCACTTGAAGCGTGACGCCTGGAGATCTTGAGACACGGGTTTGGGTTTCAAACTTATCGCCGGTGACTTACCAGCCGTTCTCCAGCATCAGGACCACAAAGCGCAGCAAGACTAAGAGCAACGAGATGTTCTTCACCAGCGACTCTGAAGATGAGCAGCTCGGGCCTTTGTCAACACACCGCTTTGATGGAGCCAGCGTGGCCGCTTCTTACCACGTCCATATTTGTTTGACCTTCCCGCTGAGGCCAGACCACAACGCTGTAGACGGCGACGGTGAGGTCCTCTATGCCAGCAGCGAGGAGGAAGATGAAAAGGAACAGGAGATCACGGCAGCAAGTCCAGAAAAGCAGCGCGAGCTGCGTGCCAGGGCCCACACCGGCACTGGCGTATCTCGACGTTTACTTAGTCGGGTCTGTGCCCTGCAAAACCTTTCGCGTCGGCCCAATACTCAATATCCAAAGTCGTGTTTTGGTTGAGCATCGCCTCACTGCAGATGATAGGCAAAGCTTACCTGCAGCTGCCCTCAGAGTCTTTGCATTTGCCACCTCTGGCTTCTCCCTTCTTCACCTGAGGAAACCCAACCCTACCTCCAGTACTCGCTTTGCTAGCTCGCTGTTCGCTGCGCAGTCGAAATGCACATGAACATCTCAGCGGATTTGTTGCGCGAGCCTGCCAAGTCGAAAACCCCCCCCAGATCTCGCCCAGCGAGCGTGCGCAGTCGAAATGCATTTCCTGTTTTTGCACAGTCACGATTGATTGCGCGATAATTGCCACAAAGACTGTGCGGCCCAGGGCGAGCCCTAATCTAACCCCGGCCTCTTTCTCTTACCGTAAGACCCCTTCGTGTAGACACAGTGTTTGCGGAAAAAGGTTTCTGATTCTGTCAGTGTCCACAATGAAAGCTTTGGTTCTTTGCGCCTGCTGCAGGTTGGGGACTTCCTTCTGGATGGCCTGCTTGACAGCAGGTTCCGGGCGCTGCAAGCAAAGCTCATGGCCACCATGCAGGAGGTGAAAGAGTCCAAGCGCGGCACCATCACGATTGCCACCATTTGTTCCGGTTGGGGTACTCAAGAGATGGTGTCGGAGTCGTTCAACACACACTGGAACTATCACCACCCGGAAGTTCCCGTTGAAGCTTCTTGTTTGCAAGGCGCCGTGTTTTACCGCAGCCTTTCAACTGTCCCAAGCGAGGCAACTGTTCGTGGGCTGAAAGTAAGGCTGTTACTGCCTTCATGTGCGAGATTGACCCCGCCCGACAGAAGTACCTTTGCAGCCGCTTTGGCAAACCCGGAATCCCCCTTTT